AGTCATATCATATTACAATGTATACTTCTTGAGCATACCGTTAAAAAAATATAAAAAAATGATCTCATTCCGAAGACAAAAATGTAAAGAAAATTGCGATAAACGCATCAGCGAACCACATTTTTGTTTTTATTGTTCTGAATAAATATAAATAATTTCTAATATTTTTTAATCTCGTTTCAATCCACTATTTTGATAATCCTTTTGCCATGAACAGTACATTTGTTAAGCTATTTTGTGTGTGAGAAAACATATTTTTTTTACCTCATTACAAAAAGATTAACATTAATTATATCAAACAGCCTTCAAATGTAGCAAGGTTTGAAATATATGTGAACTGCGCATCTGTACTTTACATGCACTGTGGTGGCTTTATTTAACTTGGAGCAATATTCTACAGTGATATTATATTAAATCTAGGTTAAGTAGGATTCTCTAGTTGTGTTTCGCTAGAAAAATTTAAAGAACAGAAATATTAATACGCCTGTTGACAATCGAATCTCGTATACTAATGAACTACTAATATGCTAAATGCATAATTTAACTGTTTGGCTGCGCGTGATGACGGAAAAGTACCTAGTGAACGATTATGAATATAATATTTTAGCTCGCGAACTAAATCAGGCTGGATCATAGTTTAGGATAAATCGAGCACATTATTTTCACGTACTCATTTCATATAGGGTAATTAAGAGTATTTAAATTGATTTAACACCGCGGTAGATGAGGTCTCTGCAATTGACTTTATCTCAGCAAACACATTGTGACAGAAAGAGACAGATGCGAACTTTGTTTAAAAATTGGTGCTATTATTAACTCGGTGTGAGTTAATAATTCCTATAATGCGTTGTAAAATAAATAACTAAATCGATCTGATTTGAAATCGATCGTTGCACTAACAAAGTATTTATTGATTTTAGAACGAACAGTGTGCCTTCAAAGATGATTATGCATGAGTCCCATTTAAGCTCCTTTAGAATTATAAAATATAAACAACTAACATAGACTTCTATTTTTAATGTAATATGAGGGATTTGAATGAATAAATAAAATAAAAATTCAAATCATTTATTTCAATTATTTGTTAAAAAGGCCCTTTTGCCAAGTCATAATTAAAAGTTAAAAATATAAACAAAAATACTAGTTGCCCCTTCCTAAATGTAGATTAATATGGAAAAGAATAGGCAAGAAATTCCATTTTACAATCGTTTTTACAATATTTTGTAAACATTGACTCGATAATTATATTTGAAGAATGTGATTAATAAGATATGAATTACAGTGTGTAACATTTGAGAACCCTTTTAAGTAAAAAATACCAGTGTCAGTTCCCAGGTGTTGCATAACATAGTTAAAAAATACTTCACCCAATTTATAACAGCATACGCGACCTGAGTGCATGAGTGTATGGGTGCATGTGAGTGAATCAGTGTGTGTAATGTGTATGGATCAACTACATGTTAGGTCTCAACTCTCAGCAGCTCATCGTCAATCACTGTGTGACCGACGACAACATCCCTTTTTTTTTAAAGCTGCTTACAATCAAAGTGAATAGCGTGAAAGGGAGCGTTCGAGTATTACGTCATGCAATTTTTGGAGATTTTTAAAAAAAAACCCCCCCCCCCAATGTAACGCGCCGTAACCAGTGTGTGTAGTAAAACGTTTCGTGACCACCTAGTGACTCTTTATACCTATAAGTTACGATTATGTGGTGTAAAGTACTGGAATGTCGAAAATAACATGAACAATAACGCGTAATTCAATCCCCGCCCCGCATCGTAATGTTTTACAAAAGGACACCCCCCCCCCCCCAAAATTCGTTACGTAATACTTGAACGCTCCCAAATATTAACATTAATATTTTCTATTCTGAGGCTGTATACCATTTTTATTTAGTTATTTGTTCTTCTAACTGTAAGGCGTCCTTGTGTGTTGTTGTTAGTATATTAAAATAAATAAAACCCTAGTAGAATGTCATTTTATTGTTGTAAGACTTATTAAAACTCCACCCGAATTTCATGTATCTCTGATTTTGAGTTGCCTTAATATTCTTTAGGAAATAGCTTGGTTAAATGATAACCATATTGATGACCTTAATACCTTAAATATTATTGAAGTATTAAAGGCTTTTACTGCTAAATTTGTTTCTTTTTTATATTGATAAAAGCTTGCCAGCGCTCGGCATACTGATCCATTGGTAAAAAAAAACCACAAAATACAAATTTTAATGTGACAAGCACTTAATGGCATACATGACTCAATAATCCCTAATGACAATTATAATTATTGCTTATTTGTTTTGTTAAAAAATTAATTTAGGGTTTCAAATAAAACACCATTTTTTTGTTCTCTACATTTAATGAACATTCTACACTCTACATTCAACATGATTAATAATAACATTTATTCAACTGCATATTCATTATAAGCTATAAGTTTAAAGATAGTTTAAATATGGAATATATTTCTAATAGATCTTTTATAATGATCTTTGATTATGCAACGTTTAACAGTAAACTTTCGACGGTTGAATTGAATCAGCCACTACTTATTAATTACTACGTTTCGAACAAGCGACTACTAGAACATTATTACACTTAATATACCTACTATCTTGTTATACAATAAGTATATATTTGATGGTTTGTGAAGATGATTTTCCAAAAATATAGTTCGGGTCTATTACTCGCGACTGTTTGGTTATAGAAATATAATATTGTAAAATATAAAGAACATTTTAAACATATTACAAGCGTTGATAAAATAATGTTATTTGAAAAATGTTACAAAAATATCAGTGAATATGGTTGAACATCATTAACAAAATAAGTATACAATCCCTACGGGCGTAATTCCAGCACCTTCGTGTCTTTTCCTGTAGTTATTCCATCGAGATCATATCCATATCACACATTTATCACACAGATACGTTCAAACTGAAATTGTGGCACCGTGTCATCCGCCTCAAAATTAATAAGTATATTGTGATCCCCATTTTCAACTTATAAATCTTTGTCATCAGTGCGAATTTACAAAGAGAACCTGGATCTTATCTGGAACTTTTCATAAGTTAAAAATACGGACCGCTTTAAGAATTTTATATAGAAGATTGTGGACACATTTGTACTATACTAACTCAATTTTCGTAATTAAATAACAAGATTTATTTGTACTGGGGAACCGCAAGTTGCAAAGTTCGCGTAACGCAAATCTTGTTAAATATATATGAGAAGTAAGCTTTTTAATTAGATAAAAATGTAATTTTGTGTATAGAATTCATGACAATGGCGATATGAAAATATATACTCATTATATTATATTCTATTGAGTTTATACTCTGTATTTTATAATACTAACATTAAATTTATGCCTTTCGGCGTTCGCTTCGTCAGATCGATCATGTAAATAACACATATTAATATTGATAACACTATTAAACATTTAAGAGAGAGATAATTTCTTATATTATAATAAATAGCAAACGCGGTTAATTAGTCAAAAGCGGTTAAGCAGTCGAGAAACGCTGAATAACAAACTAACTACTTTAATAGTTGTTTCATCTCAAGTCAATATAATTATGTGCTCAGGGTAAGATTCAGAGCCGAGCCAAGAACGGCCTCCACGCTTTGGCTCGACTGTAGCTGAATATGACCCTTAAGCTTCTCTACGTAATGATTACTACGATATCTAAGTATTAATAATATAGTATGCTGTGTTAATCCGTTGATTTATCAATAATCCATCGGGCTCATAGATGCATTTTTGATGCGGATATCAGCAACTATAATTTAATTCTCGATACCTAGATCATTACAAGACTAGACTACAACCTTAATACCTATGATTAATTATTACTACGATATCTAAGTATTAATAATATAGTATGCTGTGTTAATCCGTTGATTCATCAATAACCCATCGGGCTCTCTTAGATGCATTTTTGATGCGGATATCAGCAACTATAATTTAATTCTCGATACCTAGATCATTACAAGACTAGACTACAACCTTAATACCTATGATTAATTATTACTACGATATCTAAGTATTAATAATATAGTATGCTGTGTTAATCCGTTGATTCATCAATAACCCATCGGGCTCTCTTAGATGCATTTTTGATGCGGATATCAGCAACTATAATTTAATTCTCGATACCTAGAACATTACAAGACTAGACTACAACCTTAATACCTAGATCTCGGTGCTATAGCGATTGGTGTTGCCATGTTGAAGAGTCAGAATGGCAATATAAAAAAATTCTAATAGATTTTGTAATATTTCGAAAGTTTTAACGGTTCCAAAATAATTTAATAAAAGTGTATTTGGATTAATCCATCCATTGAATGCGCGGTTGTCTTCTATCTTAAGCATTGTCAACACTTTCCTACCATGAATACCATTATTGCATCCTGATCGTAAAGCCTTTGTTAGAACTTCAGGTTTCAAAGATTGGTCTTTGAATAACCGGAAACCTCATCAACACTTTTCCATTTTCAAATGCATTTTCCAACGACGCTTAATCTAAGATTAACAACAATTGAATGATTATATTTTTCGTTGTTTGAAACCCGCTAATAACTACTGCAACATTTCTGAACATACTACTTCTACCCACTACAACGGACCTAGTCCAACATGAATATAATATACTAATGTAATAATTATTTAGAAGATGTTCGCTTTCCGAGTATAAACAAACATTAAGATGGTGTAGATTGATTGTGCCTCCCGAGTGGGTGGCGTGCACCCGCTTCATGTATACTCTTCATTTGATTAAACGAAACTTTATGAACTACGATTGCGGCACGAAAGACGACTGCGGCGACTTATGCGTTTTAAAGGATTTCATTTGAATGAACAAGTTTGTGTAATGGACTTATCGTGTGCAATGTCAACTTCGAAAACTTTAACATGCTTTAGAGTTGTAGTAAACGCGACATGTAGGACTGAAGTGACTGTCGTGTCCCAGCTTACTCACGTAACCGCTACACCTTGTGTTACATATCGGTCGCAATCGCCTTGATGTTGTGCATTTCTATATTATCCCTTTGCTTGATCGATTGTGGGTTCTGTGAATAGTTAGGACTGTGGCGTTGGGTTCGGCTGTTGTCAAACTTCCACTTGCGGATGTATGCTTCGGTACGCTGACTTCGGGAACTCGGTGTGCTCGTACTGGGAAAGTTGGTAATGGCCTCCGTACATGTGCTTACATATGAAGCCGCAGACAGACCTGTTGTTTAATTATTATTAGCCCATCACTGTCTTGCTTGTGATTTAAACAAAGAATATAATTTCTCAGTATTTGGAGAAAAATATTTTTTATAACCATTAATTATTCGTTATCGATATTAAAATTAATGTAGACCATTAAAATAATGGTAATTAATATTGCAGGATTTAGTGTGGTATCGCTTTTCAACGGGATCTCGTGTCATTTGCTTAGTAACTTTAACTGTAATTAAACAAACTTAAAACTGTATTAAATATCATTTAGTTCTCATCATTATAGAAGCTTCAAGAACTAAAAGTCGTTAGTATATTCGTAGAGAATGGTTTATGCAAGACCCTGAAACTTAAAAAGTTATTATACTTTACATTAGACAGCGTAATTTTTTTATAGTTTAAAATAATGTTGAAGAATCTTTCCCTAATAAAGCATGATTTTAATCTCTGTTCTACTGCTCCACTAGCCTTCTACCTACTTCCTACTTTGCAACAGAAGGATTACGCTAATTAAAATTTTTGCTTCGAACAAGACCTTTATGTACTTAGAAACCTTTGGAATGAAAATCTCTTTCCTGTACGTTTATTCAAAAAAATATAACTTTTGTACAATATTAATATTCTACTTTGTTTTCGAGAGGCAAAAGATTAAGACAAAGATAACGAAAGCCGTAGTAGTAACAGATCGCGATTTATTATATGAATTCAAGTTAAATTGTATCTGAGAATATAATTGTATATATATTATTATATAGGAAAAAAACAAATGACATCACAAGCGTATTCCTCGGTTAATTATGATGATTATATTGTATGTGGTTGGGGCGTCAATTAGTCTAACTTACTTGAGATGCTGCTGGTACGGGCGGGCCGAGTGGCCCTCCTTACGGCGTCCTGTCGTCGGGGTTTTTGACGAAGGCAAGGGATGCTCTGCCTCACTGCTCTTCGAAAGTTCTGCCCCGTTAGGCAGTAGAGCATGAAATTGATACCGAAATTGCTGTGGAAGAACATGAGAGCCAGTTGCTGCAACGCCGACCATCGTCCTACTAAATGCGCCGAACCCTCCTGACAAAACATCAAATTATTAATTTAATAGCTTGAAACGTAATCCCTCCAAATAACTTGTTTGTCTTCGTGCAGGTAGCACGTTACGTATAATATGTACACACTTTCGAAGATAATTTATAAAATTTATTTGTGCAATCGCAATGCGTGTAACCAAAGCGACAAATGTACATATACTGTTTTAAAAACAGATTGTCTCGTGTCTATAAAGCATATGCATAGCATATACGAGATATTTTTTTTTAAATTATAAATTACTGTATTAATATATATAAAACTCAGTAGTGATTGATACAACATCAATCTAATAAAACTTGATAAAGAAGGGAAGCGTTATTCCAGTCTAATGTTTGGGATCGTTGTTTTGATCGTGTATTTGGATTATAAAGCAACAAGTGTCTCGCCACTGCCAACGTTACTGTAGCTTTTTATTATGTTATTTGTCGTCGCGAAATATTTGGACGGTCCAACGGGATTGTTCTGGTTTCAACTACGCTTTAGTTTTCAAATGCTTTATATCAAATCATTTAGTATTCTACATGATATATTGAAATCTGTTTATGCTATGTATGTTGATCGTTCATACGTGGAATTAATTTAATTGACATTTAATTATTCGGATTACACATTAATTACTTTCATGATAATCAATAAATTTAAAAGCGTTTTTTTGTGAGTTCAGTCTATGTAACAGTTCTATTCATCACCTGTCTTAAATCCCGTCACAGTCCTTTCAGCCGCTTCGTAGTAACTTTTTAGTGACATAAAATCTTTAGTCTTAAAATTAAAATTGGATGTTGAACACGAACGCCCATCTGTAACAACAATGTTACTAGGTTTCTTTTACTTTAATATGATAAACAATTTCTAACTACGCCTAATAGTGGAAGAAAGCTTGTTCAATATTTTAATAGAGGCGGCTTATAGGCTATGTCCATGCGAAGTCGTATCTCAAAAGCTCAATTGCAATAATTTGTCAGCGAAAGCAAAGTGTTATGATAATCTTCATATCATTTTGAAGATATCTTTAATTATTGTACAGGGATAAAAAAATAATACAAAAACTGATATGCTAGGGTGCTTGCGTTCTAAGTCGCGAAAAAAAGAGCTTTAAATTAGTTTAAATGTCATGCAAGCTCGTGCAGATATAAGTCGTATATTAAAATTCATTGCTGCATTTTGTGTAATAACTTCATTCATCGCATATGAAGTCTTAATTACAAATGAAGCTCTTTTTATTACATTATTAGCCTGACCGCAGCTCTGCAACTTTTGAATTTTTTAAAATATTTATTCAGAAATTTACTTATATGTAAGTTGTTGAATATGCATGATTATTATATTGTTGGTGACGATTGTCCGAAAAATTCTATGAAGGAAAACATTGAACTAGAAGCATCACAATAAATTTTGATCAACGCGTAAACAAGTTTATTGAAACAATTAGTGTTTTCACGTTTTTTCTTTTATTATCTTAGTATGTGGTCTTTAGGCACACAAATGCAATAATTCCGATTACGCAACAAATTTATTTAATAACAAAATTATTTTTTTGTATGTTGCTTCTGCGTATGTTTAGCCATATCATGTTTATAGTCTGCGATGTTAATTCATTAAATTCTGACCATCGTCGCGATCTCGGCAATTTTACATAAAACGGTCTAAAATTTAGGAAAATATTTCAAAAGTAGTAAATGTTAAAATTTATTCATAACAACGTTTGTGATTTGAAATTATTTTTTAACCTCATGTACCAGGGACGTAATAAATCGTATTGATTATAACGGATCAAAATTATTGCAAAACATCATCATTGTACATCGTTATGGATTTAGCCCATTTTCGTAATAATCAATTGTTTTTTCACGGTATTAATTATTTCAGGCTGAAATACTAACTGAACGAGCCAAGGCTGTACATTTTGCTCACATTTGAAGGTTTTCTTAGTTTTATAAAAGAGTTACGCCCCGAGAGTATAGCCAGACGTAGGGACTCTCTTCGACTGTTAATTTGCATTCATTCGTTACATAGCAATTAAAATTTCATTATTTCGCTTATATTCTATTGTTGTATGTGCGTGGTTAATGTAAAGTAAAACTAAAATCCTTTATTATTTAAAGCACCCCGATAACCCAGGAACCCAGTACACTAATTTTATTAGTTTTAGTGCTGATTAGTTTTAGTCATTACATAGGAATCTCAAAGATTTGTTATAACAGTAAAGGTTTTCACATGGAAGTAACAGATTAATTTAAGAAAACCTCTTTCATAATTTAAAGAACATTGAATTTAGTATATTTGACAAAATACTATAGCGCGTATAATCACGTTTCGCGTTCACGAATCCATTTTTATAGTTTCATTGTTATTTTTTCCTATATTATTTTGAATTCAATGTCTCAGATATTCTAAACCTAACAATAACGATTGAATGTGAATTGTATGCCAATAATATCAGTTGCTTTCATGTAGTTGAACGATTTGATATCACTTAACAATACAGCGCGTATAAAATGTATACCGTATTCCGGACAAGGGTTGGCATTGCCACAAATTAATTACCGCGTCTCGCACCGCGTCTAGGCTCAACTTTGATAACATTCCTTCACACACACACATAAACTGTATACAACTTCAAACGGGGATTCCTTAAGTTTGCTAAAACTTCTAATGCGTGATATAAGTTAGTTTAAAACTTAAAGTTTAAGATTTAATTTTTTTAATAGTTATTAGAGCGATTAATTTTACACTCGCATCGGAAATGCGAGTAATTGAAGCCCTCCTTTACAAAAAAATCATATTAAAGCGGATTTGAGTGAATGAGAGACTGGACACTGTCTAAGCATAGCTTAAGGCCGCCGGAAGCAAAATTGGATCATTTTGATCCCTGTATGTATACATTAAATACATTTTGGAGTGACGTACAGACAATATTCGCTTGCGAGTCATGTATGCACTTTTTGGACTGTAAGATGAAATTCTCTTGAAATATTCAGCTCTTGAGAATGTTATAATCTAAATCGCTTAAGCAGCTAAGTTTGTCTTATGAATTTCTAATAGCGACGGTGCGAGGACGCGTATTTTTAAACAAAGGTATTAAATTCTTTAGCATTTATTTTTATATCATTATTACATAACCATATGAATTAAGTCACAAAAAATCTCTGATTGGTACAATGTAAGTGTTCTTATTTCGTTAGCCATGTTACTATACACAGTAAACACAACAAGTGTTTGATTAACACAGTAAAGGAAGCCGCTCTAACAACGGACCTTGTATGAATTTGTATATTTTTAAGATAATGTTTCATACATTTTTTCTAGCATTTATTATAATTATTAACCTTATAATATTCTGAAGTTAGTGTCTATTTTATTAATTAATAATAATTAATAATTTTATTTAACTGAATATTAAAATACGCATTAAAGACATTACAGGGTTTTGCTTGAATAAATTAAAAGGTCTAAGTAACTAATGGGGTACAAGTGGCTAAGCTTGTGCTGAATAAATAAAATAAAATTTTATGTCCAAAATAATTTTGGATATAATACAAACAAAACTACTTGCAGTATGATTTATATTTATATCGCATAGAAGCTACGCAAGTGCTACGCGTTAGCTGTACTCGTTACGTTTGTGCTACGAAAAAGACCATTCGCCAAAGCGTATTCGTTTATTACTTAATTATAGGCTGTACTTACCAGATTGTAGGCGTACGCGATCATTCGAAAAGTGTAGGCGGGCAAATTGAAGAAGACGAAGACTGAAGAGACGACAAGCAACATGCGGGTAACGTGCTGCTGCGAACGAGGACCACCCAGCACTTGAGTGGGTCTCATGCGCTGCGGACCTGCCAATTGGGCCCTCATCATTTGTTGCCTAATCTTCTCTATGCGGTACACTCCCACGACAATCAATACGTTCATCAGCACGATCATGCCCAAGGGGACAGTGAAGGATATCATGGTGTCCACCAGGTTAAATCTCGCCGCGTACACCAAGTACCGCTTGTCGATGTTACAGTCGTTTCGAGAAGGGATGGCGAATCGAAGCACGGGCAAGTTGACCATTGCGGCTGCGGCTGTCAAGACGACAATGACGATGCGGGCCCGACGGACAGTACACCACGCATTTCGATGCAAAGGGTAGAGTACAGCTATGAAACGCTCGATTGTGAATGCCATTACCAACCAGGCACTCAGACAACATGTCACATAGGACAAGTAGACGAATACCTGACAAAACCCGCCAGTGAAGAATATCGAAGTCACCTGCATCGCGCTCAGCCAAGGCGCCAAAAGTTGCAAAAGAAATACGGTGTCGGAAACTGCCAAAGCGGAAAGATACTGGCTGGTGGATTGAAGTCTCAGTTTGCTGATGAAGAAAACGTACACGGAAAGCAAGTTGCCAATGGAACCGAGAATAGTAAGAATGGGAGTGTAATAAAGATACAGGTTGTTGACGAATTGTGTCGCGGCTTCGTCAAAATCAGTTTGGTTTTCAAAAGTGTCGTATTGAGTGAGGTTGTCCGAGGGAAGATCGTTCATGGCGCGGCGTGCTTGCGCCGCGCCTCCGCGAGGTAAACTACCGAGCAGAGCGCTCTCTGCAGAGACGGCTGCTGCCTGTTGCCTATAACGCCCGACCCACTGCCCCGGACCCACCCTCACGCCTACATCCCTCGATCATAACTACTCGAATGTTCTAACGGATAACGGACCCTCGCCACTGTAAAAAGCGAATGGACGAACAAACAACGAAGTACTCGATGCAAGTGACGGTTTTAGTTGGCGGCAGTTTTTATGTTTTAATTATGTATCTTAGATCAATAAACATATTCAATTCAATTCGAAGTAGACGTATTACATATTTTTATATTGCAGAAATAGGTGACTAAATAACTGAACAATAAACGGGGTCGGATTTTGTGCATGAGGTTGTAAAACGACCAGCTGAAACTTTCATAAACGTACAAGAGATAGTCTATGAAAAATATTTTTTTTTCATAAAATTTAGTCGGTAGGGACATTTAGTTGAGTGCAAAGGAGGGGCGGGGTAGGGCTTATTTGCGCCGCCCACCTGCTCATTTTTAGTATTTTTACAACATATAAATGGTTGTATATGCATAATAGATTTAAAATAATAAGAATAAGATTATTTCGCGAAAGTTGCGTTATAAAATCAATACTAAATTCTATGGGACAAATACCATTTTTTTCAAATCTACGTGAACTATAAATTATGTGAACATTAATTAACAAGTTGGTTCGACATCACATACTATCACCACTTTTACCGTTCGAGACGTTTTATATTTAAAATTGTTTCAGTTAGTAATTATTTTGAACCTGGTTTAGAACATATGACTCTTTTTATTTGTTCTCTTAATTTACTTTTCTTGTCGGCATTAGATAGAAAACAATTGAACAATTTACAGGAATTGATTGAAATGACGGTTTATTTATTTGAATAAAGTTTGATTAAGCTTAATTTTAGTATTAAAAAGTAATAAAGATAAATAATGTTAGCAAAATATCATAGCTTGTAAACATGATCCTCACTGTTCTAAATGTATGTTATAATAAATTATCATTATCGAAAGGCGCTACAACCCTTAAGGTTCTTTGACCCGGACTTCATATTGTTTCTATTTCATGACTATTTCGGACATGAGATAGAGTTGGTTATCTAGACTGATGACAAGTTTCCTTCGATGTTGTTTTTTAATCATACGTACGAGTACTTATTAACAGGAATAATAAATTCATTCGTGGTTCGTACACACGACAACTTCAAAATCGTTCGTGGAAATACACACACAAATTATTTAACTACACAGTTAAAACTTGGTAGTTAAACTTGCGATATTAATACAAAAATGAATAAAAAAAACAATATTATAAAGAAACTATATTTCCTCAAATTATCTTATAATATTAGTGATGGTAAACAAATCAATAATATACCCCGTTTATTTACAATCTTTACTGAAAAATGTTTAATAGTTTTTTTTTTCTTGGTGCTTGAAAACTTACTTTCCTCCTCAGAACCATTTCACAGGCCTCCTCCCGCTTTTTCCAAATATCTCTATAATTGGGTTTCTTTCTTCCTCAGCTTCCTGCTAACGCTTCTATATCTTCTATTCTTCTAAATTGGTAAATTGTCTCCCCTCTCTATAATATTGGAAATAGTAAGAGAAGAATCTGTAAAAAGTGCAGCTAAGTTTTTACATTTTTGCTTAGTGAGTACAAAAGCAAAAAAAAAGCTTTTTTTTAAAAGAGTACCGAGAGTTTTTTACGCCGGCTTTTTCTCGGCCTACACCTGTCTTCTTTGCTGATGAGAAGGGATGTCTGCCTATTCAAATTGAATGACGTGGAATAAGTGATACCTGTATCTTATGTTCCATAATAAACATATATTATTTATTTTATTTTATTTAATAGCCAGCAGTTTTTTAAGATGTAGTGTGCTATATATTTTAAAAATACAACGTTGTGCTTTAGACTATGAAAAAAAAAGTGCTTTTTGATTGAAATACTATTTATTATGTCCTACTCACATAATTAATCTTACTTCAATTTTCAAAATCCTTTTAGAGAACTTTTAATTATACTTAGTGGTACAGTATAATTAAAAGTTTATATGACAAATGACACCTTTATTTTATAGGAGATTTATCTATATATTTTTATTTATATATAATTAATATAATAATTGGAGATTTTAGATAGGACTGACTGTTTATTTATAGGTTTATAGATCATACATTTAACATTTATATTTATTTCGTTATTTATAAAATTTTCAAGCAAAAATATATATACCTCATTTTAAGTGAATTAAATCGCCAATTAACGTCAAAAAACCATACAATACTTCTGTCTTGTTATCTAGGAAAAGAAAGTGTTAGAACGCAAACAATGTAGAGAATCCCGATTATTTTCTTAAAATAACTTCATATCCACTGTCCAATCCAGAGATCCAATCACAGCTAAAGGACAGAAAAGATAATGTCAAAAAACTTAATTCATCAAAGTTGAAACAGTGGCTTGGATTGAAAAACTATTAGAAAAGTTTCATGCAAGTGATCTTCCGCTTCGAAGAAACCGAGTAACTTGATATGACATTTACGTCTAAATTTAATATAGCAATACCTAAAAAGTCTAAATTAAATATAGCAATACCTACCTAGGAGCAGTGTTGGCCTAGTGGCTTCAGCTTGCGACTCTCATCCCTGAGGTCGTGGGTTCGATTCCAGGCTGTGCACCAATGGACTATCTATATGCAGTATGCACATTAAACATTCACTCGAACGGTGAAGGAAAACATCGTGAGGAAACCGGCTTGCCTTAGACCAAAATAATCAAGAAACAGATACAGAAATCCGAGGCCCAGACCGAAAAAGGTTGTACTGCCACTGATTTAATACCTAAAAAGTAACCATCACACAAGAACGTGTGAACATAAGTGTTTGAATGCAATAGGGCTAGTTGAAATGCTTTTCGCTGAAAATCCCGTCGTGTTTGTTATGCGAAGCGTGACATAGACTCCATAACTGAGCTCTAGTCTGCTATGGTGCATCAACATTTGGTAGCTACGAGCTTTATTCCAATGGTTTCAGTTTGCTTTTAGCAGGAATCGCTTTGTTTGCTATAGATTCACGGATTTTGGTTAACATTTCCTCGTATCGTTTCAAGCACATACTCCTAAAGACTTCTATGGCTCGTTATACAACTAGGTTAATTAATTAAAACTTTAAACTAACAAGGTACAACTTAAACTAGACATTTAATATTAATATAAATTTATGTTAATTTACACGACGCTGTTTTTACTCTATATTCGGGTATTATATACACGTGCAAAGGAATACATAAATCAAACATATTGAAATTAACCTAGAGGCGAGTAGTCCATTGTAATAAGCCTTCGACGTACCCTCACTTGTTGCTTTGGTAAATATTTGCTAATGAACTGAGGCTTTAGCTACTTGTATGTAAGGTATGCTACTATTTATTAGCTTAGTTTGCGCCACGTATTACTTTGTTATAATCTATAATTTAGTAATATTGTTGGCTTGTTAAGACTGCACTTATACATATAGATTGACTTTAACAAAAACTTCAACATTTTGGCCTGAAGTAAGTTTTTCTATATATTAATACTTAAAATGTAAAAAGAACACTGTATTCATACATTTCAATATATAAGGTGTCTTTTAGTGAAAATAACGTAAATTATTTCAAATTATCTGCATCTTCTACGGTATTTACCATGGAGAGTGTTTAGAGGAGTTGTTCAGACCTGCAGCTGAGTTTCGTCATCGGACGTCAAGGCAGACTACGAAATACCATCCGTATCACCTTGACGTCCGTCGTTCCACAACTGTGCGTTTCTTAAGGCAATTTCTGCTGCGCACCAACACTATGTGGAACCAGCTCCCCACTGTAGTATTTCCGAACCAATTCGCCCAAAGTCCTTAAAAAAAAACCCCCCAATCGAATTAGTATAAAGAATGTGTTAGAATATAGTTTCAAAATCGATTACGAGAGGAGCTACGTCGGCACTAATAGAAAAACTCTCGGAAAGTTATGTCGCTGGTTTCTAGTCAATTACATAACAGATCAATGATTTCAATTGCATAAATACCTTATGTGAATTGGCCAAACTTTATTAGGAATTCGGTTCGGAGTTCAGAGAACATGAGCTCTGACGTCTTTTTGACAGTGCAACCGAGTTTATAGAGGAATTCTAAAGTTTCTTAAAATACTTTATACGTTAAGAATTCCTATTTGGTACATTAACTTCCGGGAACGTCTTACATCGATCCTCTACCTCGTTTTAATTATCGTCCTCCATCTTCAGGCCACGAAACGGTCGCTATAGCAAATTTTGTTCAAATCGTTTTAGTGGCCATAAACTGTAATAATTTTGTATTTCATATTTATAATAATGGACCTTGTTTCAGCATCAGAAAAGGGCCGCGGCACATTAGACGTATTACTGTGCACTACCTACTGTCGCTCACAATTATACCTGTCTCGCCAGCTCTCTCAACTCCACCCTGAACTCACCATGCCTATGTTTTCTGGTAAGTTACAAATAGGAGCCATTTATGTGTTTTTGAAGTGAAACTTTAGGCGCATGAGGGGAAATTTTTACGGAACGTCACGAAGATGTGCAGCGTTTTTCGAAAGGGACCGATTGAAACCGATTGAGAGAGAGTGAGAAGGGTGAATTACCTCATAGAAATTATATTTTTAAAATTAAAATTTCGTAAAGAGAATTTATCAAATGTTAGTATTTTATATTTTATAAAATAATTTATTGAAATCTCAAATGACGAATTGTAAATTAAAATGCCACGTGTTTTTATTATAGAAGAAATAAATTAAAAAAATAATAATAATTTTCGACACTTAATTTTTTAATGACTATTAAATTCCTAACATATTTTCCTTTTTCCCTGCCTCTAAATCTCGGAAACGCAAAGTTTTAGATATGTACATATAAATATGAACAAGAGTTAAAAATTAGTTTGCCAAACAAGTTTCACTTGTGACATGTGTACTTTGTACGCACTTTTTTTTAGTTAGAGTACTCAATAAATTATTATTCCTTATAAACAAAACAAAAACGGAATCATTGACACACATACACTTCATGCTCATTAGAGTTTTTTGGCACAACTGTTATTTCTAATGGATATATGTTGTTTATTCTATATGATTATTATTTTATTTTATTAATTTAAATTTTTCAACAGAAATAACAGCGCGGTTCCAGACGGCTCGCACGGAGGTTCGGCAGTTGTTGCTACAGTATTTACTGCCATGGCTCGTTAATATTGAACTTTTGGACCCGAACGTACCGCCTCCGAATCCTCTCTCATATATTCAGGTAAATTTCAAGAGAAAATCTGTTTATTGTTCTGTGATTCTGTAAGTAATAGAAAATGCTGCAACTTTTAAATTTAAAGTTATTTTGATAATTTTAGTACAAAGTCGTTATAAATAACTAAAATCTTTACTAACTACAGTCAAAACCGCTTACGACGGCATCGTTTAGAACAACGTACTGGTTATATTGACCAAAATCAAAAGTCCCGGCTGAATTCTATTGTATTAGGTTCTTAATAACAACGTCATCAGCCTTTACGACTATCGGTTTTTACGACCAAATATGAGTAGTCCCTTCGATGTCGTTATAACAGATTTAGACTGTATCTACTAAATCAATACCGTTTTGTGCATTGTCAAAAAAAGACTAAACATTTTACTGGTGCAGATTGTGATACGAATTTACGATAAACAATTTGAAGCAATATTTGTTCGGATCATGTTGGATATTGCATTTCGTTGTTGCATCTATTACATACACCTCAAAGGCGCTGTTTACATTGCTATAACTTTGATCCCACCCAATTAGTTTGGAAGCGTGTATATAGTTTATGCTAAAACACTATCAAACTTTTTAAAACTATTCCTCTATAGAACGTATGTAATCTGTATATGATATTACCCCTGTATCATGTTTGTTGCTGACACACCTGCATCAAACAGCCCATTCGCAAATACGTATTGAAATGCAATTAATATTGACCAGTCTGTGTTCGGCTTAAAGTGCTGACGTGAGGCTAATCGAGCATTGTGTTGATTTTGATACTGATGAGGTTTTAGGTACACTATGCACGAACTAGTTTTTGAAGTTATACTTCTTTAGGCGCGTTATGAAAAATTGATGAGAGTGAAATTTTACGATGCGCGTGCACCGTGACACAAAATTAACAGAATGAAGTTGCCCACGGAAGATGCTACGGCATTGGACATAATTTAAAAACAACATTCGAATAATAATAGAATTTATGTTACACTTAATGTAAGAGAATAATAATAAACATTTATTTATTTAATTTTTCAAATGTAAACTGAAATTTATTGACTATAATGACTCCTTTTCCAGTCTTTGATTATTTAATTGTAATTAATTATTTGCATGCAATCAAAAACTATTTTTAATAATGCCAAAGAAGTATAACTTCTTACGCGCGTACATAAGTACACGCACCCTTTTTTTATGTTTATCCTAATAAATATCTATCAATTGAAACGAACACCGAGTGAAACTTTACATTTTTCATCGGGTCCATTTTGCAAGATAACAAGACAAGTATTACTCAACGTGGTGTAAAAATAAAAGCTTATCGGATATTGATTGAATATTTTATATATGAAATAATATTAGCTCAATCAAGTTAGAGTGTCGTTTTACATTGCCCATCACTGCGCTTACAGTTCCCTATCGTCCATCGTCGTTGTTTGAATGAATTATTTATTAAAATATAGATGATAGAAATTTATATCAAAATGAAATATGCAGTTGACGATATCACTACGATTTCAAATTCAATTCGTATTTTAATTCCATTGTATTATAGTGTTGTCTATTGTGTTTTACTTTTGTTTTTGTCTGTGAAATAAATTGAATGCGATGCTTTATAGTACCAAACAATAAAGTACTTACTGAATTAAACATGAAATTGGTTTATAACGAGAGCCTTTGTGATATGTTAAGCCGTCTCTATCCTGCCTCTGATAGGTAACAGTGGGCTGGAGTATCGAGTCTCAAAGGATTAGCTTTAATATAGATGACTTTTCAGTACTATGGCGCAGAGGGTGGACGCAGTGGAAGGAGGGAAGGCCTGGGGTCCGTGGAAGCGACTGAAATGGTTCTAAACAACCTATTCTACATTACTGTTAAGGTCAGTTAACAAATGTTGTGAGCGAATTTATTTTATTTTGCTCACGGAGTTTTGAGTAATGAATGAGTGAGTTTGTATGCAAATATAATTACAGTGGAATCTCTATAACTCGAATGTCGAGAGAAATGTAATAGAATCGAGTTAACGAGTTTTCTACTTAATAAGAACTTCGAGATACATATGATTTAACTTTTGAAATTTCGACTTACAAAGGCGCGATATCTATGTGTATTTTTCGATTTGTAGAGTCGAATTTGAGTAACAATTCAACTTAAGGATTGTAGTATATATTTTTTAAATATTAAAACGAATGACATATTAATGAAGTAAACTGTGCACAAAAAAAATATATAAATGTATTCATTAATTGCACGTGTACAAGACAAAAACAATAGATTAGAAGCCCCGAACCCGAACATTCATTTTGGATTTTATTGCTATTATTTCGGGGTATTCCAAATAAGACGACATTATATTTTACTTACTAATACTTACAGGTTACCATTATGAAATTCGAGTTATAGAGTATAAATATGTATTATCAATACTTCGTAGGGAGATAACATTTTGTTCTAGTTACAAAGTTTAAATAATTCGAGATACCGCGTATTTAAGGGTTCAACGGAAGGGAATGGAATTTTTTTCGACTTATTGAGGATTTCCACTTAACGAGGTTCGAGATATAGAGATTCCACACACAACAACTTTGAATAGGGAGCTTTCAAATATTACGTAACGAATTTTGGGGGAAAGGGTGTCCTTTTGTAAAACGTAACGATGCGGGGCGGGGATTAAATTACGCGTTATTTTTAATATTATTTTCGACTTTCCAGTACTTTACACCACATAATGGTAACTTTTAGGTATAAAGAGTCACTAGGTGATCACGAAACGTTTTACTATACTTGGGTACAGAAAAACGTTACGGCGCGTTACATGGGGGGGGGGGCTCCCATAGTTGCTGAGGCAGTTTTAGATAATTAGTAAATTTTTGTGTCACATGATAAAGAATATTAGGATGTAACATTATGTACTTATTGTACATACTGAACATATCTTCCACAGCACACTAAAGTGTATTTGAATGTTTGAATATTACCATATTAGCGGACTAGGCGTCAGTGACGTCATCATTTAAATGTGTTAACAATGAGTCCGTCACCATTATGTAGAACAGTTGAAATCGCTGGACATTTACTTGGTAATTAAACTCTCTCCGTTGAAAATTCTTCGGAAGTGAAAAAGCAACAGATAACAGCCAAATTAATTTATTAACCAACTTTAAAAATCTGAAGGAGGTGTAGTTCGATCTGGATTTCTTATACACGTTATGACATTTTTTTATAATTCAGGGGTAGGTATAACCAATACTTTGTTTTTCCATACAAACAAATAAAGGTAAAATTAGTCTACCTTTGCAATTTCATTCACAAATAATTGTTTATTTGTTGATGAAATTGCATACGTTATCATCGTCAATAACAGATCGGCTTGTTATTTACATTATTATATTTACATTATTACTAGCTGACCCGGCAAACGTTGTTTTGCCATGTATATTATTTCTATTAGTTCAATAAAAATAAATATCTGCTATAATAAAAAATGGGCGTTGATCGTAGAGGGGTGAAAATTAAGGGTTGTATGTATTTTTGTATGTTGTATCATAAAAAAATAAAACAAAAAAAAAATTTGACTAAAAATTAAAAAAAAAAAATTTTTGGGGCACCTCTTATCACTTAAGGGTTTGAAAGATAGATAGGAGCCGATTCTCAGACTTACTGAATATGCATAAAAAAATCATAAGAATCGGTCGAGCCGTTTCGGAGGAGTATGGGAGATATATATAGAGATATTATAATATTAAAAAAATACCTACGAATCACAATTTCGATGTTTAGATCTTAGACTTAAATGAAACCCTCTATAACCAATGTGTGCTGTGAAGCGACGCGATATATATGTTTAATTTCAAAATTAAATACCTATCTCGTATCAATCTTTTAGTATGTTGTGATAGATGCGACAGGTAATGAATAGAACCACAAAACAGGTCGACGAGAAAGCTCAAAGTTTTTCAAAGTTCAAAGTTCATTTTTTAAAGTGCATTTCGCAATACGCTTCACTCCCCCTAGAAATTACAAGGCGCGTCGCAAATTCCGATGGGCTGCCGGATTGACTTGTCCTACCGCCTATTGTTTTCTATTCATGTCCGTTTCGTAAAAGTTTTCAATACTCTTCCACCGTTACTCTAGCAACGATCGCCGATGGATCGTTGTTTCAGATTGTATATCTTTTTAAGGGAATGCAAACAATGAATACAAAGAGTTTGGTTAAATTGTGGGTTTCAGGATATTTTTTGAAATGTCTCTTGAAGGCTCTAAAGTGTGCTGACGCGCCGCGTTTCTTAGCTTTTCAATCCGTGGTTTATAAACCTATATGAATCTAACAAAAAAATGGTTTCGATCTTGTCTTTTTAATCTTTATATATATAATTCTTCTGTGAGTGTGTATGTCACTGAACTTCTCTCAAACGACTGGACCGATTTTGATAAAATTTTTTGTGTGTGTTCAAGGGAATGGTTTAGATTCACAAATCAGCCCGGCAGATGGCACAGCAGTCGGTACTTTCATACTTTGCTTAATATCCTTATCGCTTTAAATATCATGCAGGACAACGTCTGTGGGGTCCACTAGTATTTTTATATATTACTTCTTCTTATAGTGCCATCTCCTTGCGAAGGTTGGCGATCATCATGGCTATTCAGTCACCGTGACCACGCACGCTGTAAAGCACGCGAAACGTCGGATAAATTTAAAATTATGTTAAATTTATAATAATACATAACTTCAATCCGGTCAAAATAGTGTTTTATTAAATGAATAAAAGTTATGTTAATCAAAGACAATACTATCATGGCTATTATACATATATATTATATTATTATTATATATTACTACTTTTATTTAATTATTCTGTGAGCATGTGAATTGAACGTTATTAGCGCAAAAACATAGTTCAAGCTATGAAGTAATGTATTTACGACTTTTTTAACTTCCAAACTACACGAAATTATAAATAAAAGCTCTTTCCAATCTCAAAAAAATTCTTTATCCAGTGCAAAGATATTTGTCGACGACATACAACCTTGTAGTATGCCTTTAGAAATGAGATATGTGGGCGTGTGTGTGTGGGCGGGTGGAGGCGATGGACGTTAAGATTTCAGATTATATCACTCGGTCCATTCAAACGATTATAATAAATCCTTTCAAAAAAACCTTATTCCAAATTCAAATAGGTAATAAATAGCTTTTCTTATTTACTAGGATTTTCTATGCTTAACTTAATCCACACCACATTTTTTATGCGCCTGACTGCCTTTCCTATCAAATAAATCTTATTGTTAATACAAATACTCGGTATTTATGTTTTATACATATACACGATCGGTTATATATTTTTTGAGAAGAGAACATGTTTGAACGTAACTTTGCAAGCTTACATTCAGTACTTGAAGAACATAACAGAAATGTTAAAAATTGGATTATATTGTTTAGTCTTGTTTTATCCAATTTCGACTATTGTAAAAGATAAATAAATATTAACCATCTCAAACAAAAATAATTACATAACCATGGTGTCAGATGTTATAAACAGTGTTGGTACAGAGGCTTAGCGTGCGAGTCTCATCCCTGAGGTCGTAGGATCGGCTGTGCAACAATGGAATTTCTCTCAGTGTGCGCAACCTTTGTTAGCGAACCGGCATGGCTCACATCTTAAAATCGATGACGCGTGTCAGACAGAAGACTAATACTGACCTACTTGTCTATTTAATAAAAATCCACGTAACATGTGGCATTTGCTGTATGAGTAATATTAATTGTAACGGATAACCCAACCAATATATAAAAAACATTACATTGTTTGGTGTTGTTCAATAGAGTTCCTCTCTCGATTTTTGTTGTTTATATCTCAGTATCAGTTACTAATTTAGAACTTGTACCTGTATATTTGTTTTGATAATGTAAAAGAAAGCCCAGAGCAGTGTTGGCCAAGTGGCTTTAGCGTGCGACTCTCATCCCTGAGGTCGTAGGTTCGATCCCCGGCTATGCCAATAGACTTTCTTTCTATGTGGGCAATTTAACATTAGCTTGTACGGTGAAGGAAAACATCGTGAGGAAGGCTTGCCTTGTTGACACAGGAGGCCGATCGCCTACTTGCCTGTTAGATTGCCAAATGATTATGAAACAGATTCAGAAATCTGAGGCCCAGACCTAAAAAGTTTCTAGCTCCACTGATTATTTTTTTTAATGTAAAAGAAAACTCTTTAACGTTGTGTACGAATTTGTTGTACCCCTTGATTAGGAATCATATCTTGGCTATCATTTCGTAAACCTATACAGTGACCTTCCCTTTAACGTGACATTTGTCTTGAGAAGTTAACCAAGGTAAATACGACAATATTATTGATCGCCCCAGCCGATACGCAAATATTAATTTAAATACTATTTAATGAGGCAAACTGTAACCTGAAGCCACATTCGTGAAACGGTAGTTACATATTTCATAGCCTGGAAATTGAAAACCATTGAACTGTGTTAATTGGCATTCGCGAATATTGCGTTGGGTAAATGGCTACAATATTAGAGTTTTCACTGCTAAAAAAGGAAGTAGTGTCAAGTCTTTAATTATACAAACGGTTGTACAAACAATGCTTCCAATATTTAAATTTATTATTAATAATAATAATAATATATTGCAAGAATATGGTACAAAATGTTAAGGTGATACAATAGTAAATCGTTCACCAATACCATTAATGTAAGCTTTTTAACACCTCCGACGACTACATAGTCTGGGAATTATCTGGAAAACGTTTAAATAAAAAAAAATAAAAAAAATATAGATGGAAGTTGGAACTGTTTAAATTGTTAAGGCACACGACAGACAATGCACTAGATGCGGATTGCAAATTCTAGGAAGTGCAAAATAAATTTATGAAAAGTATTATTACTTAAAGCATGCTTTTCTTCCTAAATTTTCTTTGGCAAATTGTGTAACGTGATTTAAATCGTGAGCGTATTTAACGTATTCTATATTAAATAAATGGAATGAATAAAAAGAGTAGTAAATTAAAAAAAAAATAGTAAATCGTTCGCATATTCAGCCACACACAATGGCGCGCAAATTTGTTAAAAAAATTAAGGAATTTTACATTATTAGTTAAAGTCAATTCTTATATTATCAAGTCTATTATACTATATACATTCATTATTAATTAATTAATTATTACTAATGTGGCGTAGGCAACTGAATAAGCTGGTTATTTAAGAACCCTTTTAGTATAACATACTATGTAGAACTATTGATTCTAGTATTTGTAACTATGTAAATTAGGTCAAAGTTTGGCGAGTACATCTAAAGTTAAATTTATATATCTAATCCTAGACGAATTTAGGTTGATTGTTTAGAACCAAATAGAAATAGGAATTCTGTTACAATTTAATTTGTTTTACAGTTCTCGGATCAACACCCGAAGGAGATAGAGGAACTGTGGTCAACTCTATGTGCTTGTTGGCCGAACAACCTGAAAGTCATAATTCGATACCTCATTATCGTGTCTGGCATGGCGCCCAACGAACTTCTGCCCTATGTAAGTCCATTTGTTATTTTCTACTGTTACGCAATTATTTATATTCAGTCACTAGCTTAGTTCAATCTGTGTATTATCGATACATTATACTGTGATTTTTTATTTCATAGAATTCTGATAGCTAGCATTTTTTGACATGTCAGAGATTGCAAACCTTTTAGGCTGGGCACATTTTTCAATTTCAATACGGGTCGGAACATCTGAGTCTAGTTAGTGAATGTATCCATTTTATTAAGTGCAGTGCTCTACATTGAAAGTGGTTTTACGGCGAGTGATAATCACGTTTCTTTTCATCACATACCCACTGTAGGTAGAAAAAACGCCCAAGCAAAGATAAGATTTTTTGAAAGCTTTACCTGGAATTAGTAGGCAGTGATGCCAGCTAAATAATAAAATTAATTAATTAAAGATAATTCGATATACTGTTCGTGATATTGAAATATTTGTTCCTTTGTATTAAGCTTAGGTTTCCTAGAAAAACGGTGCCCTTAACTAACGGCCGTCTTTTTACGGTTGTTAATAACGGCCGTCTGTACTTTTAACATAATGCAAAAAAAAACAATCATTTTCGCCCGTCTAAGTCACGTTTCCACTTATTGTATTAATTAAATATGGGCACCGCTACACGCGAAAAACGTTGAACTAATGTTTATCACCGCTATGACGGTCGTCATGCAAATGTCAGCACCACTATTTGACATTACGCTGACACTCAACGTTCTTTAGAAAACCTACTCCGATGTTATTTATAGACAACGTATGGGTGACGTCACCCAACGTTACATTACGGCCGTTAGCCGTTTAGGCCGCGTAGGCCTTTTTCAAGGAAACCTAAGCTTTAGGTCGCTTGAGTAAGTAAATATTTGGATTTACCTGTTTGTAGGTAGAGAACATAACAAATACGTAGATTTTTATTTTTTATTATCCTCAAACGGGTCGAATTTGTCCCTTTTTTGGTGGAGAACTTTTTAGTAGCAACACTTTTGTAATGTCTGAATTCCAAGGAATGAAAAATCAGAGTTATAAAAATTAAATTTTCTTCTAATCAACCATAGTGATACAAGTAGCATTTCATTTGGCCAAAATCTAAAGCCTATCCCTAAAGCGTTAACTAAAATAAATACATTAGGTATTATCTCGTTAAATATGAGAAATATTGTATTTGAAATGTGCGTGTTATTACATGACAAGTGATTGTTGTTGTGTTGTGGAAAATTGAAACCGCAGTTTTGTTTAGTGAATATTTCTCAAAAAATTATTCTTGTTACGGTATCTTGTTATATTTTACGTAATTTGCGGTTAACCCGTTCGCTTTCAGATGGTAATTTTGTGTACGTATATTTCCATCGGTAATTATATCCAGCAGAATATTGAGATCACATAATATCATTTCGTTGAAGTACAAAGAAATACGGAATATAAGGAAGGCTGAATCTTAGGATTATTATATGAAAGCACAAGCAAAGCTTTGTAGAGCATACGTAATCTATGATATTGAATACCTGTTGCTCCTAACAAGGATATTGTTGCAACCCTCTTGTGAGCACCGAGCATGAAGAATATTACGTAACAATTCGTTTGTTCCGTATTCTATAACTAAGGTTCAGCCATGCGTTTTGTTACAAGAATATTACAAACTTGTGCTCACTCGAATCATACTAAAGTCTGCAATAAAGAAGCAAACAAAATTTGTTTAAATTTGAACCTACCTATAATAAAGGCTGTTTTTTGTTATTAGGCGAAACCTACCTATAATAAAAGCTGTTTTTTGTAATTAGGCGAAACCTACCTATAATAAAAGCTGTTTTTTGTAATTAGGCGAAACCTACCTATAATAAAAGCTGTTTTTTGTAATTAGGCGAAGCCTACCTATAATAAAAGCTGTTTTTTGTAATTAGGCGAAACCTACCTATAATAAAAGCTGTTTTTTGTAATTAGGCGAAGCCTACCTATAATAAAGGCTGTTTTTTGTAATTAGGCGAAACCTACCTATAATAAAAGCTGTTTTTTGTAATTAGGCGAAACCTACCTATAATAAAAGCAGTTTTTTGTAATTAGGCGAAACCTACCTATAATAAAGGCTGTTTTTTGTAATTAGGCGAAACCTACCTATAATAAAGGCTGTTTTTTGTAATTAGGCGAAACCTACCTATAATAAAGGCTGTTTTTTGTAATTAGGCGAAACGTGTGGTCTTGTACCTGGCGCGGTCACGTCCCGAGCGCCTCTTGGATGAAATGATGACTGAACTGCAGACAGTCGAGACCCTCAACTGTCTGATAGAGAGAACAGAGACTCCCCCCTTCTACCGTCTCACCTCTATGAGAAAGGCCACTTCGGGACACAGCGATGGACCAGGTGCCGGATCACAGGTAATTTTTGTAAATCATTGGAAACCAGCGGGAAGCTTTAGATGAATGTACTAAAACTACAAATGGTGTGTAGGATGCCACCGGGCGTACTTGCGACTTGGCACCAGTCGAAAAAGGCACGATACACACCAAACGACACAGCGGAGAGGACCCTGCCAAGGCTGCGTGAGTACCCTTTAAATGCTCTATGTAATCTTTCAAAATTTACTTTTATACACTTAATGGCTCTATTGCATATTATATCTACGAAAGTATAATAATTTTAATTATATTTATATAACTTCGAGGTTTTTGTGATATTCAAACACTTTGCCTTGAAGCCCTTTTTTAATCTGTCTGGATGAACGCCGACTACACAGGGCTATGTTTTTTGTTTAACATATGATTTAGGTGGCCAGTCTCTAGTTTCAGTAATCACCCATTCATTAGGCTATTGATGTTGTGCTTTCAAGTTCGCCAACATGGGCAGTAAACATTTTAAGGATTATTAGATAGATGTTTTATTATACTATAAAATTTTCGAAAATGGTATATCAAAATACGTTTATTCAGTTTAGATGCGTCTTAGCGCATGCTTATGAATGTAAAAATTACAAAATTCGCGAACGAGCAAGACTACGCCATCCGTTCGCAAAACTACCAGGAGGCCTTGTTCTAACAAGTAAAAAGTTTCTTGCCAGTTCTTCTTACCCGCTCTACGCTCTTGACTTGCGAACTGGTAGTAAATGTAAATTTACAATTAATTTAACTTGACAATTCATAAGTGTACTTGTTTACCTACATGAATAAAGATATTTTGAGTTTTTAGTTTAACCTTTACACATTAATGTTTTTGTTTAAAAATTGTATTAATATTCTTTAATTGTATATTAATCAAATACAAATACAGTACTCCTCTAACTAAAGCTGTTTCTATAATACATGGCAGTTAACTTCGCATTGGAAAGAATTAGTACTATAGGAGGTTTGAATATTTGATTCGCTGGCTATTTTCATAGGCTCTATAAGCAACATTGGCCTGGTAGACATTGCGTTTGATCGATGGATCTCTGGGTGCGCCCGCCCTAAGTGATTGCTGTACGTAATAACAACCCTTCAAAATACCGGAATTACATAACCTGAACCTCGAACTTTTCTTGCCCTAGGCCATCATTATATTTTGTTTGACGAAATGTTTCTTTCATTCGTGGGACAAGATTGAGCTTGATGTATTGCTGAGAAGGTCGTATAATTTGTGAGCGAGTGTTTAATTACTGCTAGTAGTGAGGCGTAGAACGCGAAGGCTTCCGTATGCGATCAGATAATACTAAAGAAGTCTTCAGAAAGAGAGAGAGCACAGTAGAAGAACCCTTTTGAGTAATAGATGGCATGAGGCACTCGTTTGCGCAATGTTACGTCTTCTGTGTGCTGCTCTACGGCGTAGAACTTGACGCTGAGAGATTATGACCAAAACACTGGAAACGTTTGAGATCTGGTTATCGTCGTATGTTTAAAATATCTTGAATAGACCGCATACGAAATACAACCGTGCTGGACAGAATGCAGAAGAACAAAGAAGTGCCTATGACGGTTAAGAAAGGAAAACTTGAGTATGTCGGACACGTTTTACGTAACACCAAAAAATACGAGCTCCTTCAACTAATTCTACAAGGCAAAGAGGCAGGTAGAAGGAGACCTGGCCGCAGGTAGAAAAACTTAAGACAATGTTTTGGTCAAAGCACCAAGTCATTGTTTACAAGCGCGGCATCCAAAATTAAATTAGCCTTGATGATCGCCGACCTTCGCAAGGAGATGGTACTATAAGAAGAATAGGATGAGCAGAGAAGAAGAAGGTTCGCCCGTTTCCTGCCACCTACTATCCACAATTTGTCGACGCTATATGGCTTAACCGGTGAGATCCTGAGAGAATGTAAAAGGAACCGACGGCCGCTTTGATGCGGTGGTTTTGGGCCAATCTAGGTGGTTTTAGTTGGTATAGCCCACTCGGTTATCTTAGTTAAATAAATTCCCCTGTCCCTTTAGGTGCGGGGGATCAGTAAACGTATTTCCACCGTGCTTAGAAAAAAGCTAACAGTAGGGTTAAACAAAACAAGTTTTCATCATTATCATTCATGATGTTCATCATAACATAAAATGTCACGGTGGTAGAATTGGGTTGACTATTACTAGTTTATCGATTCTTGTTAATTAATGAACGTTTAAGTGATTCTATAATAACATACTATATACAGATCTTAATAACATCATTGATCATTCGAAACAATGTCTATAAAAGTGTCAATCACCAAGGATTTTTTTTATTCGTTTTTTTAGAAAGCCACCCAGTCTATACTCAATGGATTTTTACAAATTGTATCTGCGGCTACTTGCCGTTAATACGTTTATTACATAGACATTTTATTTGTATTATAATATATCAATTTGTAGCTGCAACAAAAATTAAACCTATAACACGTCGAGTGCGTATACTCGAAGATAACTTAAATATTTAACTGCAGAAGCGTGAAGTCAGAAACACCTGGTCGTAGTCAGGACAAACGTGCTTCGGCCCCGCCTTGTATCACTCCACCGGCTGATGAAGATCCGTGTCCACCTTCTGAAGGAGATGCAACTCCGGTAAAGACATTTTGATAACCTGTTATATTTTTTATGTCTTATCTATGCTGACACAGTTTTTATCTATGCAAACTAGTAGTTTTTTTTTAAGACAATTCACACTAATTGACCTAGTCCCATGCTAAGCTGGTGAAGCTTGTGTTATGGGTACTAGGCAACGGATATACATAAATATTATAGATAGATAGACATATAAATACATATTTAAACACCCAAGACCTAAGCACAACACCAAATGCTCATCACATCTATGTTCGTCTCAGCCGGGGATCGAACCCCGGACCCATGGATTCGCAGTCAGGGGTACTAACCACTAGACCAATGAGTCGTTAATAGTATATGTCCATCCTCATACTTAAAAAATATTGTAGAATCGATTGTAATTTAATTCACACTAGGAATCGCAAATCACATATAAATTTTCAATTATAATTCGTAGACGGGAATTTGCCCCGAGGGTATATGCGCCAGTTTGCCATCGACCCCACAGGATGCTCGCATGGACGTATCCCAACCTCGTCCGTTACCCATGCCTGAATACGGAGGTTTCTTCGCTCTACTCACCGAGTATCTTCCAGATACTAATCAACCGGTGTCAGGCTTTCATAGGTAAGTTATAGGTAATATATGTTATTGTAAAGGAATAAGTAATTAATATTGTATCTGAATTCTTGTTACTCATATGGAGCCGTTGAAGTATTACGTAAGGGGGCGTCCATAAATTACGTGAGGTGTTTAAGGGGGGGAGGGGGTCGAGTCAAATCTCATTTAATCTTACGTTGGAGAGAGGGGGGGTCTCGGCAAATATCACGCAATTTTTTTTCTGATTGAAAAGAAAAACTTAGGAAAACGGTTGACCCAGCCATCTCTGCAACTTCCCGCTAACTCCATACCTAAACGCTCAAAATTTCACTTTTTTTTGTTTTAGTCGTAAATAAAAGCACGAAGCCAATTTTTTTTTCTTTTTACAATAACAATCCAACGCGTTTACGTAAGAAACCCACATTTTGAAAAATCTCACGTGAGATTGGGGTATGGGGGAGGGGGTTGAATAAAATCTCACGACATCTAACCAGGGGGGGAGGGAGGTACAGAAAATTTAAAAAAAACACCTTACGTAATTTATGGGATTTACTGCAAATTATGCCCCCCCTCCCCCTTCCTCTTGTCAGCAAAAGTAAGTAAAGCTCTCAAAAATAATAGTACATACGTATGAATTTTTTGTAGGAACCCTCGAAAATGCATTTCGTTTTCAAGCATAGACAAGGTGTGGGTAATATGTGTAAAGAAGTAAATAATTACTGTTGACTTCTACATTGCTTATACTTGACCGGCCCCTATTATGTGCTTGACCAATAAGCATGATTGTTACTGAATCAAAAAGGACCCATAATATGATTGTTAGTGTTGCTAACAATAGTGATTGATTTGTGTGTAAAAATATTGTGATTACTATGATGATTCGCTCCTCTGAAACTGACACGCGAGAATATGTCTTACTGTCCAACGAGTCGGGAAATTATAATATTTGAGTATTTTATTACTCGAACGTTTACTTTACAATATTTTATGAAATATAATATTACGAATCCTTGTAATGCTAGTTACATGTATGTATGTAATATATTTATTCACAAAAAAGTTACACCTTCATTCAAACCATGCCCCGCAAAACTGCTTTCGCAGTTTGACTGCTGGTAACTCGCCTTATATAAACATAACTTCTAAATCACTAAATTGGGTCAACACTAATACAATTAATTTACGTAATGGCTACAACATAATTAAGAAATGGTTTTTTAATAAACCTTTAAATTAAACAAGTGAAGGATCACGTTTTATATCTTCGGGGAAACTATTAAGCAAGTTTGAAACCCGTTACTTCAACGTTCTATCTCCTTAATAATTTTGCGCCATGGGTATTTCAAATTTACCTTTGGACATTGACTTTGTGTCTGTCCACTGTGTGGATACAAAATGTAAAAAAAGCTCTACTAAATGATTTACTCGTAATAGATCCATTCGATTTATTACAACCCTCCGAATACTTAAAAATATGGCCAGAGTTCGTTGAAGTCCACGAATCTGAGGAAAAGGGTATTATAGCTAATTAATGCAATTATTCTAAGTATGACAATTTTTATTTGTTTTTGAAATTTTTATTGACCTGCGAACATAATATGACTACCGATCCGAAAAAAACACAAAAGCTAAATTAATTATAAAATGACATTCCAGAAATTAAAATTGTCTGCTTTCGGAATATCAGCGGCCTGGGTGTCTGTCTCAATTATGTTTTTTTTATACGCAATATAAACAACAGTCCAAGAGGCAGACACGAAAAAATATAGCACACTTTTTCTGTTGACACTTTTGACGCGTTCTTTATGCTAAAATAGATGCAGGCTATTTGCGTTCGTTCTCAGACTTTTTAAACGAACACTGCAGGTCTGCCAAGTGTCCATATTTTGTTAATTTAAAGTCCTAGACGAAGATTAGCGTCCTAGAGCCTTTTTTTCTTTTATCATTTTGACAAGGTTTCTAAAAATCAGTCTGAAAAGCAAACACTAGCAAATGGTATGGTAAGGGAGTGTCAAATGACAAAGCCTCGTTACCATGGTGGCAGACGTGGTCCTTAATATTCCGTATCGTATAATTATTTCGCTATTGAAAAAGTCTGCCACAAGGGAAAATCGTATAGATATTTTGTCTCGCCAGCTCCCACGTGTTATTTTCATTTCATTGAATCTTGACAAACGATTTACGAGTTCGAATCTTTTACATCACGCCTCTACAGAAGAGTCTTTTGAAACGACTATTAACGCCAATATTATTGATTTTCTTCGATTAATATAAAGTTATAACATTCGTACTTATTCGTACTCGTAAAAACTGTATTTAATCAATATAAAAAGTCTTAAATAACACATTAAGGGTCCAGAATACTTAATTACAAAATTAAACCTACTGTCCGACGGCGCCGTGCAATGGGCCTAATAATTCAGTGCTACTGAAAATAAAACTTTCGTTTTGTTACTGAGATAAAAGTTCTTTTAACGTTTATAGCAAATGTCCGCTGCACCTAATCAAAGCACGTCCCTGGTGATGTTAATTGAAAAGTGTAGAGCTTACTTCAGTAACAACTACTTTCTATGTAATTGAAAACCACAATATATTACGTATAATAAATTCAACAATTCAGTAGAAATAGAAACGCAAAGTGGCAAATCAATAACTCGGTGCTAGGAACTTACAGCCAACTCTTAGAAATCCATTTAGAGAGTATAGAGCATATTCTAATTGGCGAAATACATATCAGGCTGTCTATTACATCAGCCGACGCATCACAACCCCCTTGATACAAACTCTCAATTATCGTGATAGCTATCCACTTTGAAACTTCGGTATTGATTGGCATAGCTCGAATGAATGGAACGTGCAAAAGATTTGTTATGCATGTCATTACGTTTTTACAAGAGTTTAGGTAATCCTCTAATCCGCTAAATTTATCGTAATCGCGTATATCGTGTGTTGTAATGTAAAGGATTTTTTATAAAATGTTTTGATTAGTTTCAATTTTGATTTGAACACTTTCTACAAATATCTTAGATTATTTTATTCACACACAAATGTTTAGAAAATAATTTGATTTGCAGGTGCAACGTAGCCGTTATGTTGCTCTGTGATGTGGTACTGGACGGCGTCGAACTGGATTGGTCAATTCACGTACCTCTTATGCTGCATATCGTCTTCTTGGGCATGGATCATACCAGGTCTGTATTTTATTTATACATTGTGAACAGCAAATATTATGTTCTTTAAAATAGAATGTGATTACGTTTTTTCCTCGGAAGTCCCACTAACTATCATGATTCATGTGCACTTTTTTTTTTCATGTATATTTTATTAATTTAGTTTGTTTTTTGTTCCTGTTTAGTATTTTTCTTAATAACTATATGTGATATGTATTTTTGCACTTCTTGCCTACCTTATCTAATTTAATACATTTTTTCTTTTCTCTTTCGTTGCCTGGAAGAGAACGCTCTATAGAGATAAGGCCGCCAGTTGCCTTCCATTTCATTTAATTATGAAAAATGTTTATATTGTAATGCAACGAAGTGGTAATAAATAAATAATCACTTCTGCTACACTTTTTTTTTTATTTAAACATCCAAGACCTAAGCACAACACCAAATGCTCATCACATCGATGTTCGTCTCAGCCGGGAATCGAACCCGGGACCCATGGATTCGCAGTCAGGGGTACTAACCACTAGACCAATGAGTCGTCAAAACACTGACTATATATTATGAATATATTTAAGAAAACACTGATTCATTTTACACCATTTCGCCTTCTTTTGAATGTTGCCTACAACTTAACTCCAGCAGATGCGATCGGGACCCCTTGCTAAGAGTGAGCTGAGATTTTTCTCAGTTATAACCATGTTATCTCGGACAATTAATTACTAGGTGTAGTGCAGATTCCGCCCCTTATCGAATCCGCGATGTGTGTATTAATCCAAAGGGCCATGCGCTGTTTAGAACTGTGTTAACGGTCCTGTAAGCTTTGTCTTGTAAAATCTTGATGGCGTCGATTATGTCAGACAGGTACACATTGTTTGTTTGCTCTGTGTAGGAAGTTGTATATAGGAAAATTTTAAATATGTCGTACTCGGGTAAGAAATCGAGGTGCTGGTGAGTGAGTTCATTTCCGCTCAGTCCTGCTCAATATTTGTCTGCGAATTAAAACATATAGAGCCAAAGAGTTAAAAGAGCGTCCCGTTTTACTCCCGTCGGTATATATTCTTACTACAGGTGTGTCGGAGCCTTTCGGGTTATGTTTCCGCAAAGGGTCCTCTATATAAAAGACGCACAAAAAACTATACCAATATCATATTTCAGCTTTAATTATATCAATGGAGAACTAATTTGTAATTAACTGATATTTAATACACTAAGTCATAGCTACTATGCCTTACTTGAGAAATAATAAAAAAAAAGCCTTTATTGTTGTTAACAAATTTTACACAGAGTAGTTTCGTGTGCCTAAAATTAATTTACTTATGACTAAAAAACACATTTTGACTATTAACTAGAGTTTAACTAATATACTAACAATTTTAATATCTATCGATTATCGGCAAATGGTAGTTCGGTTACATCGTTTCTTCCGACAAAGGCCTCTTCTAAAGCTCTCCAGTCTTTTCTCATTTTTGCAGTGCGAGTCCATGTTGAACCCTCTATTTTCTTAACGTCATCCTCCCATCTCTTAGCCTGTCTTCCACTATGTCTCTTTCCGTCTAAAGGGTACCATTCTGTGATAATAATTCCATACTTGAGATATAACCATTTTTAAATAAACGTAAACTCTACATTACAGAGAATATCCGAAGAGAATAAGAAGCCTTATTACGTCGCTTCTAATTAAATGTTCCACTAAAATGGACAGGTGATATTCCTTTCTGAGTTTTAAAATAAGTGTAGACTATTTCTGTGTCCAATGTGATTTTCTAAAGCTTCTCGAAAGCACTTCGCGAGAATAGATTATGTATAACGGCGATTCGAAATAAGCTTAAATTCATGTCAGACAGCTAATTTGTAGACGGAGCAGCCTATTTCGTTATTTATGCTTTTAAAGATAGTGCATTTGATGGATACGGCTAGTTATGTGTATGTATTTATCAGTTATTTCTATGAAATGTATTTAAACCAATTATAGAACGGAAAGTATACAATAATGCAATCGATGTTCATGCCTTATAATTGCCATATTGATATAAGCGATAGTAATCGAATAATGGTCCGTGCCTATTTTTGTGTATATGTTCTGTGTGTATGCTAGGGCTTTTTTAGGACCGTGCCTCATCGAGCCGTACAGAAATTTGCATTCCACGCTCTAATGGACACGCTCCAAAGACAATAGACCCCACGAATGAGCGAACCCAATCCATTATATCATCCCTAATACACTACCTTATCGGGAACTATACAGAAACCGCTGTTTATAGTCTATATTATATATTTCTAATGCGACTTCCAACGAGGTTGCGTTAAATGTTTAACGGTATGAAAGTACTGGAGATTTTAATGTGAATTTCTCGTTACTTGAAGCTGAAACATTATTCACCTTCCTTAAAGACAAATCCAACCAAAGGGGGATTACCATTAGGGGTATACCATTGATGCAGTTTTTGCAAGAAATACTGAAAAATAGAACTCAAACATTTCGTATCTTACTTTTGTCATAATCCAATGGTAAATGTTATTGATTTGGATATTTCTCGACTCGTAAATGATAATTATAAAATGCGATTAATTGTGAATTGTAAGCAATGTTAATAAAGTTTGTCTTAAAGAAACAATATGATATCACTAAAAATCAATTTCTACCCCTTCCTATATTCATATCCACATTAAGAATTTTCACTTCCGCGCGGAGGGCCTGCGTACTATTTCTTTTACCAGCGATTTAAAGACATTTATTAAAATTATGATTTAATATAACAGTCAACAAGATAGCCGGCCTTTCTCAAGTCAGTTATGTACCCATAAAAATCGGTGCAATAAAAAGTATGTTCTTATATTTTTTCATATTTCTTTTGAGTGAAGTGAATATAGGAGTATTTATTAATGTTGGATGCGAATGATTACGTGCCGTTTAATGGATTAAAAACGTTGTGCATTTCGTTAGATGGCTGGTGCACCAACATTGCCGTCAGTTGCTGTTGAATCTTTTGGTAGCTGTTGCTGCCCACCACGACCACTTAACGGTTGCACGGGTGTTGCTAGCAGCAAGATCGGCACACCTTGGACTTCCTCTACCGCCGCCGGCATTGCCACTTACCACACACAACTTTACTGGTGAGACCCGTTGGCCAGTTGTCGCATTGGTTTGACTATAATTTTTAAATTAAAATGTTTTGCCGTAATTTTTTATTCAATACTAATTAATCCGAAAAGTACTATCTCTATTAACACTATTGTATCGCTTTACCTTTATCGTGTATGAAGGATTCTGTTGGACAATAGCTAGAATGTATTTAAAATAAAAATAAAAATAAAATAGTTTGAAGCACGCAAAGTTCTATATATTTATGCAAAATTAAGTTAGTGTAAGTAAAGCTTGCTAATTTGATTAATCTAGCTGAATCAAAAGCATGCTTGTATATGTACACACTGATTCCTAGCTCCGTATTGCTATATGTGTTGTAGAGCCTGACGCGATGTTCGATGGACACGCCCAATGCACACATTCACCGCGAACGAACGCACGCTGCCCCCCGTCAGACCCACAGGTCACACCCGAAGGTATGTAAGAGCTAGTTCATGATTTTTTAATGATTTCTTCTATACCAATAATTTAAAGGGTAATATCAGTGATAGAAAAATAGGTATTTTACTATGATGCCTATACCATTCGTTTTTAAATTCTTTGAGCGTTTTCTAAGGCAGTTTGCCGCAGTATTGGCAGTATTTCCGAACCAATTCAACTTCACGACAAGAGCGTACGAATTCTTGAACCGGCAACGCACTTGCGAGCCTTCTGGCAATGTGAGTGTCCATGGGCGGTATCACTTAACATCCTCCCGTTTGCCTCCTATTACATAAAAAAATAATTATAATAATGTAGGAAAGTGACATGCGCATATTGCAATTAAAACAGATATAGGTATATACTCTGCTATGATATTGATTAAAATGTATTTTTGACTCTTAGCTGAAGGCGAAAACTACCCATCCCTCCCTGTGATAGTGACGAACGAAACCGAGGCTCCTCCTCCAGGTGGAGGTGGAGAGGGAGAGGGGGAGGGGCAGGAGATTACAGAATTGCCTGTCGCTGACGTCATCAAGAGCTTAGTGCATTTCCTAGCGAGCAGACCAACACATATGCCGCTGTGGCAGTATGAAGATATCACAGCGAAAGGTTAATCTTTTTAGGATTAAATTTAGCTGGTCTTTGTTTGAATGACCCAATTTATATATAAATAGGTTATAAAATAGAATTAAATTAAGCAAATGCATTAGCGGCGTTGTATTCAATTTGGGTTATACTAATGACAGAAATGTCAATTTCAATTACTGTTTATTCTTGGAAGACGTTTTAATTTATTCCATTTATGAGAATATTTTTATAGTTATAGTTTAAGCCTGAGTACTTGTGAGTTTTATACTTATGACTGAGAGAAAAAGCGTACATATGAGCCATGGGCTTTTTTAACGTGAAATTCGTTTGGCTAATTATAAGTTATTGTTACATGCCGATAACTTTTAGCATCTTTTTCGAATTTGTCAAACGTTACGATGAGGGGCGGACAGTACTTTACACCACATAATAGTAAATTTTAGGTACAAAGAGTCACTGGGTGGTCACGAAACGTTTTACTATACTTGGGTACAGAAAAACGTTACGGCGCGTTACCTTGGGGGGGGGGGGGGGGGGGGAATCAATAAGTCGTGTGGAGCAGGTGTAATGGTTATAGCTCCTTGGTAGTATTATTTTAAATAGTGCTTGGTGATATGAAAAACCGACGTGAGGTTTCTTTCCAGTTCTACTCGTCCTTTCTGCGACATTTGAGAATAGGCAGTAAATGTATATTGAGACGTAATTGTAAAACAGTCAGTGTAAGTTCAGGTGGACAAAAGTTACATAAATAAATCAATACAGTATTGTCTTTGATTGACATAACCTTTACACATTTAAAGAAAAAACTTTTTAACCGGATTAAAGTTATGTATTATTATAAATTAAAGTAATTGTAAATTTATAATAATACATAACTTTAATCCGGTTAAATTTTTTTGTCTTTAAATCAATACAGTATATAGTCTATATATCGACTCTCAAGGTACTGTGCTTGTTTTGACGTAACAAAGAGTTAGTTAAATGAAAAGAAGAAGAATCTGTATTAGAAAAAGTTTATTTCAGACTTGTGTTTCTGCATTTGTCTTTTGCAACAATTATGTTGCTTTTTACACAATTTGCAATTTGTAAACAATTGTTTACGGGCTAGGACATTAAAGCGACAAAACAACGTTCACAGCTCCGTGGTTTTAACTAATTTCTGCAACTTAAAAAGTACTTTTTGGTACTTAATTGTCGTTATAGAGATTGAAGTAATGCTATGTAGAGTGTATCATTGTGTGAGAGACAAGCTAAACCAATCAAAGCCGAGTGATATCGAGGCATTACGAGCCTTTTCTTTAAATCTAAAAATACGAAACGAAACGAAAACTTTTATTGTTCTATTTCAAACGCATCTATAATGTTTTGACGACCTCATTAGTTTTTATTTATGAATACGCGGTCTTCGACTAATTGGTTATAAAATGTGTTTGGTTTCAGTTTGGTCTCTCCGCAGCTGCCAACAGATGGCGACTTTACTGAATCATGTGTTACGAATATTCCGGGAATCACTACCACACGCCCTGATCTCCGAGCGTTGGGCGCAAACAGCATTGCAGCTGGGCCTCTCGTGTCCGTCCCGACATTACGCTGGAAGGTCGCTTCAGGTTAGTTTTAAAGAACAACTAACTGAAAACCATATAACATATCCTCGCTTTATAATGATAACCTCGTATGTCCAGAGAACCAAACATTACAGGAAACGAAAAATGTTTCATTTCGTCAAATGTTCGTTGAAATATTATTATGTTTTCATAGTTTTAGATGGTAAAAAGGGTATTAATAACAAAAATAAGTCCTTACTTCATGATTGTACCAGTTAAACGACATAAGGGTCTAAGAATAACAAAATTAATGGTTTTTTGACATAAGAGGTTATCATTCTACAGTGACAATATAATTCCAATGTGAAATTTATGACTTTTATATTAATAAATATCTGAATTGGCTATTTATTTTAGGTGTTCCGATTCATTGGTGTAGCAATGACGGGTCGTATGGTCTCAGACATTTTATCCCGATTAGTGGAGACAGTGGCTGAACAGGGAGAAGACATGCAGGGCTATGTAACAGAACTTCTGCTCACCCTCGAGGCGGCTGTTGACTCCCTGGAATCGAACTTCCGGCCCCTGGATTACATGCGAGACATTTTTAAGAGCACACCAAATTTAAACAACAAGGAGGTGCCGCAACCAAACGGAAATATGTATAATGCTGGTAAGAATTCTTACTACGAATTTTAATTGTGTTTTTTCCAAATGTGATATTGTTGGAAATCCATATTGTTTAGTATATTGATATATTTAGGCTAGGAGCAGTGTTGGCCTAGTGGCTTCAGCGTGCGACTCTCATACCTGAGGTCGTAGGTCGTAGGTCGTAGGTCGTAGGTCGTAGGTTCGATCCCCGGATGTGCACCAATGGACTTTCTTTCTATGTGCGCATTTAACATTTGGTTGAACGGTGAAGGATTACATCGTGAGGAAACCGGCATGTCTTAGACCCAAAAAGTCGACGGCGTGTATCACCTACTTGCCCCTTAGATTCAAAAATGATCATGAAACAGATTCAGAAATCTGATACCAAGACCTAAAGAGGTTGTAGCGCCACTGATTTATTTTTTATTTATATATTAAGGCTTCCAAGCGCGTGTTCTAAATTTCCTACATATGTCTGCCTACATATTTCTCAGAAACCAAAAGTTATATTAAGATGATTTTGTGATGAAATTACGTTTATTGGTTTGTATAAGGAAAGTTCATACTGACCAAATAAAATCTTATACAAATCGGGTGGTAGATTTTTTCTTAATTACTCTATAATGTCGTAAAAACGTGCAATTATGTTTTTTTATAGACATGAAAATATATGTTCTAACGTACCTTAAATATTTTAAAGGCAAACGATCTCCGGGCGTGTGCGTGGGCTGTGTGAATAATCACACACGCAGCACGAGTTACTCTGTGTCGTACTGCGTGCGTAAAGCGAACGCGGCTACGACACACTCGACACACTCGACACACTCGACACACTCTACTCACTCGCCAAACTCGCCGCATTCCGACAAACAGTCGCATGGTATGTGGGCCCAAATCACTATGGTATAATACTACACTAAAAAATACTTTTCTATATAGACTCACTAACTTCTATCGTTTATAAGTGTTATAATTTCCTAGTTTAACTTATTAATAAGAAAATTATGTATTGATAATTACTTTAATTTGGAAAAACACTTTTTTATCGGATTGAAGTTATGTAAAAAAAAAAATACATAGCTTCAGGCCTATAAAAAAGTGTTTTTTTTATGTGTAAAAGTTATGTCAATAAAAGACAATACTATACTTTAATTTGCCTCGATATTAATTAATATTTTTTAAATCTAATATATATAATTCTCGTGTCACAATGTTCGTTCCCATACTCCTCCGAAACGGCTCGAACGATTCTTATGAAATTGTTACATATTCAGTAAGTCTGAGAATCGGCTGCTATCTTTCAAACCCCTAAGTGACAAGGGGTGTCTACCCAAAAAAAAAAAAATTTATTTTTTGGATAAGTTTTTTTATTATTATGTGGCATTAAAAATACATACAGCCCTTAATTTTCACCCCTCTACGCTTAACCCCTATTTTTTATTATAGTAGATAGGTATTTTTATTGAACGAAGAAATGTTTCCTAGAAATAATATACATCGCAAAACAACGTTTGCCGGGTCAGGGAGCGTTCAAGTATTACGTAACGTATTTTTTTCCTTTTGTGAAACGTTACGTTGCGGGGCGGAGATTAAATTATGCGTTAATGTTAATATCTTTTTCGACTTACACCACATAATAGTAACTAAAGAGTCACTAGGTGGTCACGAAACGTTTTACTATACTTGGGTACAGTACTGTACTTGGGTACTGAAAAACGTTACGGCGAGTTACATGGGGGGGGGGGGTCAATAATCTCCAAAAATTGCGTTACGTAATACTTAAACGCTCCCTGACAGCTAGTATTTATATATATGTTTTACCAATTTTATATATTTTGTACAGAGAGTCGAACGCGTCCGTGTAGTGAGGCCGTAAAGGGTGCATGTTCGAATCTTTGTCGCTCACGGTCGGCACAATCGCTTAAACTTCTCGGTGACTCTGCTACACAGGTTTGTACTTGAAAATTCCTATTTTTCACTTTAAGACTTAAAACTTATTTTTTGTAAGCAATTCTCTATTTATGTGTATAAAGTAAGAAATTTATTATTTTTAGCCGCTTTTTAATGCACATTCCTTCAAACGTCTGCCGGTAAATATTGAAGTATTTCTTTATTTTTTTAACTCAGCTCAACTTCATTACAAATATATAGAAACATGTATGTGTAGTTGATTAGCATATTTTATATAACGTAGTAGGCTATGTACTGTGAATGTGTTGTCTAATTGTTTTAGATTAAAGAAACAAGGAAAAGTATGTTTAAAAATTCGAGTCGTTCAAGTATTACGTAACGAATTTGGGATGGGGTTTCCTCTTGTAAAACGTTACGATGCGGGGTGGGGATTGACTTAACAGCACAAAATGGTTACGGCGCGTTACATGGGGCGGGTCATGAATCATGAAAAATTGCGTTACGTAATACTTGAACGCTCCCCTAGCTATCCGACTTAATCTTTTTTTTAAATGTAAGGATGACAAGCTGACGATCCTCGCAACGGTATTCTGGGTGGGAGCGTCAGTTCTCGAGTCAGATTACGAACACGAGTTTTTACTCGGCGTGCGACTTCTCGCTCGTGTCATGGCGAGGTTACCCCTCGACCGGCCTGACGCCAGAGATCGCCTCGACAGGACACAAGTCCATGCTCCACATTCGACTACTTCACTTCATTCGTTGCTGCTGAAGGTACAACAGTTTAACCATATTTTATCTTTGTCAAGATATCTAGAACTAGGACAAAGTTTGATTGAAAGTAGGGATGAATCGATACGCCTTTTTGCTGATACGATACCGATGCCGATACTCTTATAGAAAAATCGTCGAAACCAATACCGATACCGATACTTTTTGGTTAAAGTTTTTAATTTTTATTAAAAAATGTAAACTGTCACAAACTTTGAATAAGATTAAAGGTTCATCTATTAAAATTAAGAATTAAGAGTAATGATTATATTAAAATAAATAACTGTTAATAAATTAACATTGATAAGATTTTTGTAATTCTTTATTTAATTTAATTTGGTGTTAAAAAAAACCTAGCATGACAGTTTAAAGCCAACTTAAGTGTCTAGTGAAATGGAATACGCGGGGACAAAGCGGGTGAGAGAGACAACAAACAATACGCAGGGATTCCCCGGGCATAGTCCGTGCCTCGTTTGCAATTTTTAAATAGCAATAGCTTGAAAAAGATAATTATAATTCTATAGGGGTGCACGCATCCGAACACGTACGAGCCCGTAGTCGGCGTACTAGTGGACATGATTCCACTATTGGAGTTACCAGTCATTGATCCCACCCAGTCTCTGGCATTCCCTATGACGGTGGTGGCATTGCTGCCTTACATGTTGTTGCATTACGAGGACGCCAACGAACTCTGCGTAAGAGCCGCGTGCCACATCGCACAGGTACGACAACTACAACTTAAACTCCTCCCACCAAAACTATATAGTTATAGTATACGATCCTAATTTTGTTAAGTGTTGTACCAGTTTTTACTTTAAAAAATATAATAATTAATTAAATAATTTTTTTTATGTATAAGAATAAAGTTGACTCCTTGGCTTGTATTTTTTTATATTAGAGTCTGATTGGTCAACCTTCTAAAAATTACTATGAAATAAATTAACACAATTAAAACGAATAAAAGTAACGTTCATGAACCAACGACATGGTACATTTTAGCTGGACATATTTTTATTTGACGTATGGATTTCAATTTGTTTAATTCTACGATGGGTACATATATATTATATTTTAATATTTCTAACCTCTCGAAAAGGGCACACCTAACACAATGTATGAAAACTGCATAGATTAACTGTGCGTTCAGTGAACTGACAAACGGTTTTCTTATGTCAATACATAAAGAAATTGTATTTTTGTAGATATATTAATCTATTTTTCTTTGTGTATAGTATAGCGTTATGTATTTGATATAAATGTAAATTGTTGCCGCATTGATCTCTAATGGTAGCTTATTTTGTTAAAAATAAATAAACAATTATATATTTGGTGACCAGTTTACGGCAGAGAAAAGCAAGAAACTAGAGAATCTCGGAACTGTGATGACGTTGTATTCGCGTCGGACCTTCAGCAAGGAAAGCTTCCAATGGACCAAGTGCGTCGTGAAGTATCTGTGGGATACGTATTCGCACATGTCGCTGCAAATGCTTGCCTTTCTCGTCGAGGTTCTTGAGAAGGTAAATCTAAACAAAATGTGTCTACGTTTATATTAAGTGTTAAGGTATAATGACGGGGAATTTAAATATATAACAATAATTAAGCCTCATTTATTCCTTGAAACATTCATCCATCTTTACAAAAGAAACCCATTTAAAATTTATAATTATAGGCCGAAGTAGCTTCATCTCTGTCTATCTTGAGCATTCTTCTCCCAATCTTCTCCATTAACTTCTTTAAGCTTGTCAGCCCACCATGCAAGAAGGTGACCTCTCTTTCTTTTCCGTGGTGGGCCGTTCTACCTTGTTACCCTGTTCGTCCATTTGCCATGCTGTTAACGAAAACGGTGTGCCCCCCATTTCATCGGGATAGTGCATCAATAACTTTTGGTTTAACTCTGGTTCTGTATTTCTTATTCTGTATTTGTTATTTTGTTGTTTGTGTTCGAGTCATATATACATGATTGACATCCGTGAGAAAGACACGGCAATGTACAGACTAATACTCTTTTTGAAGTTATACTTCTTTAGGCGCGTTATGAAAAATTGATGAGAGTGAAATTTAACGATGCGCGCGCACCGTGACACAAAATTAACAGAATGAAAATAGTGGCGCATGTTGGCACGCACGCCGCCTCTGTTCACTGTGTATTTACTATTTATATTTATGATATTTATCCACATGCTTTGATTTTCTACATTTAAAACAAGTGTTTTCATTTTGTTTTTATTATACAAGTGCGAATTTTATATGTGCGTCTGAATTATAATCAGTAGTGATTTAAATTGAATATTTAAATCAATACTAATTAATATTAGAAAATAATAATAAATATAATATTAATAAATATTTATTTATAAAATTTTTCAAATGTGAACTGAACTTGTATTGACTATAATGACTCCTTTTCCAGTCTTTGATTATTTAATTGTAATTAATTATTTGCATGAAATCAAAAACTATTTTTAATAATGCCAAAAAAGTATAACTTCTTACGCGCGTACATAAGTACACGCACCCTTTTTTTTAAGTATATCTGCCCTCAGTAACCATAAATATTAAACCTATAATTGTATAAAATGTCAATCTCGTGATTAAAAAGCCTCTTATAAATGTCTCCATTTTCAGGGTGCCATAAACCTCCAACTGCCAGTGCTGTCCATCCTGCACTGTATGCTTTACTACGTTGAGCTAAACACTGCGGCCGCGCAGCCTGTTAATGCTGATCTTCTCCGAGCCGTCGCCAAGTTTATAGATGTTTGTATATTTACTATATTGCAATAATTATATCTTATTTTAAATTGCCAAAAAAATATCGTTAATTTTGTCAGAATACTGAACTTTTATTGGCGTCTATTATGGTATTTAAAAAAAAAAACAATGTGTTCGAACCCGCCATGTTCTATTTATTATGGTGAATGGTGTTTGAGCAGAGCAGTGTTGGCCTAGTGGCTTCAGCGTGTGACTCTCATCCCTAAGGTCGTAGGTTCTCCGGCTATGCACCAATGGACTTTTTTTCTATGTGCGCATTTTACATTCGCTCGAACGGTGAAGGAAAACATCGTACTTGCCTATTAGATTTAAAAATGATCATGAAACAGATTCAGAAATCTGAGGCCCAGACCTAAAAAGGTTGTAGCGCCACTGAATGGTGTTTGTATTAATGTTTTCGATTTCAGCAAGAAGGAAACAACTACAAGGAGGCGATGAAGATTCTCAAACTGGTGGTGACACGATGCTCAACTCTCGTCGTCCCACCCCATTGGGAACACGCACTTGACCCACTCATTCATAAAAAGGTATACTTTAGTTTATTTACCACAAGAAAGAAAAAATACCAGGATCGATCAAATGTTTAATACGGTTGCAATTGTTTCAGGAACTACCCGGTCGTACGATGGATTTCACGTTCGATTTGTCCCAAACACCAGTGATCGGTCGTAAATATCTCCCCAAAGGGGGCAGTCAGCCCCCCACGGGGCCTAATTCGCTTTCGAATGCCTCATCGATCACACCTGATAAAGGTTAATTTTTTTACGTACTATGTCATATACGAGTCCAAGGATGTTTCTTGAGTTGGTGGGAAATTATATTCATTGACATAGACATAGCATTTAATACTAACTAAACACACATAAAAAAAAAGAAAAAAAATGTGCTGTGGTTGTAATTGGCCCTGACTCAGTATTACACTGAGGAGCAGACTGTTCCACAGCGCTGGTCATTCTGCCACCACAGCAGCTAGTTTACGCCTCAGTCGCAAAAAAAAATGTAATAATAATAATACTTTGTAGAAAAAAAAAATATTATACTCTATTTTTGATTCCGTAGAATTCTGACAGCTATCATTTTTTGACATGTCAGTGATCGCAAACCTTTTTGGCCGGGGACATTTTTCAATTTCAATACGAGTCTGAACATCTGAGTCTATACATTTTATTATTAGTAAATGCATCAATTTTATTAAGTACGGTGCTCAACATTAAAAGTGATTTAACGGCGAGTGGTAATTACGTTCCTTTTCATCATAAACAGTAAAGACAACATTTTTTTAAAAGGTTTACTAAACCTGGAATTAGTAGGCAGTGATGCCAGCTAAAGAATAAAATAAAGTAATTAAAGTTTTTCGATACATTGAAAGTATTTGTTATTTTTGTATTAGGTCACTTGAGTAAGTAAATATTTTATCTTTTTGTAGATAAAACATAAAAGATACGTAGCATATTTTTGATTGCCCTCAAATAAGTCAAAATTGTCCCTTTTTCGGTGGAGAACTTTTTTAGTAGCAACACTTATGAAATGTCAGAACTCTACGGAATTAAAAATCAGAGCATACGAAAACTTAAGGTAATTTGTTAGTATTGATTAGTTAGAAAACAAAATGGAACAGGACTAAATTTGTTTGAGTCTGATAGCAGGGTCGGGATCGTCAACGGGTTCTGCTTCCACTGTGGTGGGGGTAGAAGGGAGTAACGCAGCGAGTGCCTTGCCACACTACGCCGCGTCACCGCGACGGTCGCTCTCTTTGTCGCCCGCAGACGCAATGGCGAGTGGCTGGCGAAGACCTTGGATGTCCCAGGTTATAAGAGATCTTACCTTACGTTTAATGTTCTTTTGATGATTCAATTCCTGAAAAACTGATAATGATTTTGAGAAGGCACATATTTGCTTCGCCAGAGCTAACATATTTTATAATGTCTTCCATTTATAACTTTTCAGAGTCGTGTCCGTGAATGTCTGGTGAACCTGCTGACGACGTGCGGTCAGCGTGTTGGCTTGCCGAAGAGTCCATCAGTAAGTTGCATAGTGACTATAGCCTCTACAGGTCCCGCTGACGACACGATTTAAAGTCTACCCATTACACCGTAACATACCATGACCGTGCTAGGAACGTGCCGGATTAACTAATATTATTAGTATTTAAATGTATGAGACCATGCCCACTAGACCGTTCCATCACCGACCAACACCGTCGCGTGTCAGTCACGGAGGGTCAACATTTGTCGGGAATATTTTGCACGTGTGCGAGCGTGACACGCGACGTTGCCAAACCGCTGTGCGCTGGCGGCGAGTCGGTTCGGTCGTTCTTCTTCTTCATCCAATATTATGGCGATCATTGCCAGTTCTCTAGCGGTTTTTCTAATAGCCATAGGTACTTATTTTGTTACATAAAAGACGTCCGCACGAGTCTGATTTTCACGTGAGAATGACGGATACCAAACATCGGCAAAATATACGGGCATCATAATTTTGCGTTGCGTTTTATCGTTGTATGCAGTCATCTTACGCGTTACTAACGGGTACATGACGCCGTCGATCCGTTCAGTGGGCAAGGTAGACCGTGTCGTGTGATTTTCCGTGTCTGATACGTTCACAGCATGGTCATGTTACGATACGGTGTAATGGGTAGAGACCTTTAACCTAAGTGACATGGATGCGTGACGTCAGCGAATCCTGCGATTAGTTGAATAACGTGTGTATTTCTATCCATCGCTGCGTTTAGGATGATTTGTTAACAACTCTCTGCTCTAAGGTAACAGTGTTGTATGTTGCTCGGTCACAGCTGTCGCGTGGCCAATGCGCTTGCACTGCTTCGCTGACGCTAGGAGACTGATTTCAACTCATTTAACCGCTATGGTCTAGTAACATTATTGTAGCTATCTTCATTCATGACTGAAATCTTGCCGCGAATTAATAATAAATTTACTATTGATATATTGATTCACTTAGCTTTGATTTTTTCAATATTTATGAGAGGAAAGGATGTACGATTTATTACACGAGGTCTGATGCCCATGTGCACTTTATAAGCTGTGCACACGTTTCACAAAGTACCAATTAAAAGGTGTGTTTATTGCACGAAACAAATATCACTAGAATTAATATGCTTTGAAAACAAACACTGAACACTTAAAGCTATTTGAGAATAAATACAGTTTTTGTTGATGATAAAAATAAAAAATAACAATTTTTATACAAATCTTGATATTAATGTAATTTAGATGTTTTTTTATTAAGTTTAGGCTAAATCCCTATACGATGAAAGCTGTATTTAAATGACAGGAGTCAAGAACTTAAGAGAAGTAAAGTTATCAATGGTGGCGTCTATATAAAAACATTGTGTACAGGTGATCTTTAGTCAAAGCTCTGAGCTTCTGGAGCGAGAGTCATCAATGGCGTCTTCATTGGAGGAAGTGTCTGGAACGCCTGGAAACGACCCCTCTGGTGGAGCACCACCAGACCATTTCGGAGTATTTAAGGACTTTGACTTCTTGGAGTATGAGAGCGAGAGTATCGAGGTGAGAGGACATATGCGATATTTGTTTTAAAATAAGTGTTGATTGATAATTTGCTATTTTAAAAGTCTACCGAGAGTTTTTTACGCCAACTTTTTCTCTCGGCCTACATCCTCTGTCTTCTTTGCCGATGAGTAGGGATTAATAATTAAATTACGTGGAATAAGTGATACCTGTATCTTATGTTCTATAATAAACATATTTTTATTTTATTATTTATAAGTCTCATACTTTATTTATGAGTTCCTTTTATTAACCCATTTATGTTGAACAGGGTGAAAGCTCCGACAATTTTAACTGGGGCGTACGTCGACGCCTCCCGAGTGAGGAGCGCGAAGAACGAGATGATGGGATGATGCGGGAACGACCCATGCTCGCTCCGGACTTCCCCGATAGGCATCACCACACCGCGGTATATTTTTGTTTAATTGCTAAGACTGTCTTCCATATTTATACAATGATTTTTAATTCCGTAGAATTCTGACATTTCATAAGTGTTGCTACTAAAAAAGTTCTCCACCGAAAAAGGGACAAATTTGACCCATTTGAGATAAAATAAAATGCTACGTATCTTTGTTTTACCTACAAATTGGTAAATCAAAATATTTACCTACTCAGGTGACCTAATGCAAAAATAACAAATATTTCAATATCATGAACAATATATCGAATTAACTTTATTTTATTATTTAGCTGGCATCACTGCCTACTAATTCCAGGTTTAGTAAACTTAAAAAAAATAATGTTAACTTTACTTTTGCGTTTGTATACTGTTTGTGAAAAAAGGGACGTAATTATCATTCGCACTTAATAAAAAAGAGTTATTCACTAACAAATAAAATGTATGTATAGACTCAGATGTTCAGACTCGTATTGAAATTGAAAAATGTGCCCGGCCAAAAAGGTTTGCCATCACTGACATGTCAAAAAATGATAGCTGTCAGAATTCTACGGAATTAAAATTCTGATTATAGACGACGTATTACGTCGATCCAAATATTTAAATAAAAATATTAATGGATTTAACCAATATTAGGTTGGACACGAAGATTCGTCTGATGAAGAAGGCGCTTGGGAGGAGAGCGGCGGCCGTGGAGAGGGCGACGGGGCTCATGACTTAATGCTTCGCCCGAGGGCGTTGTCGCTTTCCAGCGCTTCAAGCGGCGAGGCTCTTCAGGATGGTGAGAAACTTTTCTCTTCATCAACGTTCCTTTAAAATATATATAACTCATGTCGTGTTATTAAAGGTGAGCGCGGCGACCTCACCCCAGTTGCTGGAGCTATGCGTGACGCGTGGCGTTGTTCCATAGCTGTCCTGCTGCGACACGCGAGTCAACTGCCACCCATGACTCTGGTTCACAGGCTTCATACAGTACTCAAGGTATTATTTTATTCGGTTGAAATATGTTAAAATGGCGCCACTTTATTTCTCTTCCCGATATAGCCAATTAACTGGTAGTAACACGTTTTTATCTTGTTAATGAATTGGAATTTCCCCTTTACCACGGCCATACAATATGTTATAAAATTATTTTTTTGCAGGAAGTGACAGCAAAAACTATATCGGTGTGCGGCGAAGGCGCGCTGGCCGGTTGTGTGGGATTGACAGGAGGAGTAGGGCTGGGGGGTGGGGAGTTGAGTGCTGTTTTAGAGCGCTTGGGGACTGAGGAACCGCCCTTGGTCTGGTGCGCACCTCCCGTTGCCGAATGCGCAAGAGTCAGGGACGCGGTGCGGTACGCTGCCTTGGAGATTAATGAGCATTTGGAGACCTACTTCGATAGACTTGAGGTGAGATTTTTCGTCTTTCTTATTGTAATAAAAAAATTTTGAAGTGAAACTTCTTTAGCCGCATGAGGGAAAATTTTTTACGGATACGTCACGAAGATATGCAGCGTTTTTGTCAAAGAAAAGGGAGAGAATTTATTAAATATTAGTATTTTATATTTTATGCAAAATCATTAATTAAATCTCAAAAGACGAATTGTAAATTAAAATGCCACGTGTTTTTATTATCGAAAAAATAAATTTTTAAAAATTAAATTTTTCCCTCCCTTTAAGTCTCTGAATTTTTAGATATGTATAAATATTAACAGACTTAAAAATTAGTTTGTCAAAGAAAATTCACTTCTGACATGTGTACTTTGACGCACGCATTTTTTTTTATTTTACTAATATTTATGTGTGTCTGCGCAGACTTTGGAAGTGTCACGAAGCGCAGAAGAAACTGGTCGCTGTCTTTACAAGCTGATATTCCAGCTTCTGCTGCTACTCGAGACCAACAATAAGATGGTCGTAGCGGTGTACCACGCGGCCCTCGATAACCGGGTATGGATCTATTTCACTGTTTTATAATTATTTATGAGTTGAGAAAAACCTTGGAGATAGTTTTGGTTTTACGCCCGAACCCAATTACTCAATCCATAATCCACCATCTGAGATAGTAGTCTTAATCTAAATGTTGTAATAAGTGTGCCAATAACCAATCGACGGATTGTAATAGTCATCTGTCGATACAAGCTATCCATGGGAGGTCGTATCATTGTCTGTGGATAGACCTTTGTATGAAAATGACAGTTGACGAAAGCTCGATTTCAACAGTTAATTATTTTAACAGATTTTAGCTTAAAAACTAAAACTCTTTGTTATGTTATATGTTTTAAACATACACATGTATATTTTAATGTTATTTGTACGGTTTTATTTATTTTATTTGGTTTGACATTGATTATCAAATATGAGTGAAAACTCGGTAAATTGGAACTACAAAGAGCATTTTATCCGTCGCCAAAAATGGATTGTCTTCGTAGGGTTTGGTTATTGGAATGCAGAGAGTTGATCAATCGACTGTCACGGTCTGATCTCAGATTGATTTCAACCTGAGATTGTGGTTTGATTATTGGGTTCGGGCGTTAATTGTATGATTAACAGGGCGTAGAGATGAGTGCGGCAGTGAGCAGTGTTCGGGCAGCTCTGGTGTCGCACGTCGCTGACTCCTGGGAGAGTTCTCCTTCTCCTTCGCCCCATGATGATGCCCGACTTTTGCAACTCATACAGCGGCAAAGGTTGGTTTATTAAAATGTTATTAATTTAAAAAGTATTCTACTATAATAGATATTCTTGTTGATAACATTTAGATTAAATAGATTTTTAAATTTATTTCTGCGCGCTTTTTTACTTAAGTATGCCTCGAATTCATGTTAAACATTTGTTTAGCAACAGTTGATAAATATTGTTGATGAGCGACAAATGTTGCTGGAATAAGTTTAAATCAGTATAGGTTTGTCCACACGCCGGTCTGCGTTTAAACGTTGCCCGAGGAAGTAGTGTTGTTGTGTTCTCTGTATCTGATATACAGGGTGCTTTTGATTGAAGCAGTTCTTTTAATTGCATTATTATTATTATCTGTTTATCGTCAATAAATAATTGATGATAAACAGATGTTTCTGCTCGTCGGGCGAGAACTACAATATGTCGTTGTCAAATCTGCAACACTCGGTGTTGCCAGCTACTCAGCAATACGTTGATTCAACATTGTTGCTAAACAAATGTGTACCATGAGTACGAGGCTTAAATTATGTTGGACACGCCATCTTTATCTGATGCCTAAAGATATGTTTTTAATATTTGTATAAATGTCAAAAGAGAATAATGGTTTCCTTAATTCGTTTTTAGATGGGGTGCAGCACTATCCTTGGTGCGTGAACGGAACGCGGAGCGGATCTTAGAGCTTGGTGAATTGCCTGAAGATGAAGTAACTAGCCTTTTGCATGTCTACTGCAAGGGGCTTTGGCAGGCGCATCCAGGTGAGATAACTAAACAAATTAATGCTTCTAGCAAATCTGTAAAGCGGCCATTCCTTTTTCTAACAAATTAATGACTTTTCAACAGACATGGTGGCGATCACGCGCCCCGTCAAAGAACTATCTCAAAACCTATCCTTCATGATGGAGAGCCTCTACAAGGTGTCTGTAGCTCTCCAAAGGCAAGAGTTCGTGTGAGATTACCACGCCCATTAGACAATTTATTAGCTTGTAACCCTTCGATGTATAATGATCTTGTTAGGTTAACGTAGAGCTTAGAGGGCACCAATAGCATCTTACGATGGCCCAAGTATTGCCAAATTTACGAAAACTATTTTCTTTCTTTACAAATGTATTGAATATATTTTCTAAATTACAATAGATACGGAATTTTACCGCTGGTTTCTGGTCTATCTTATTGATCTTTTTCATGCAAGTTGGTGGTGCCTTCTGCGCCTATACATGTCATTGGGTTTTATCCATATAAACAAGTGCTAATTACACACATAGGAAGTATATTCAACGATTCGAATGCACGACATCAGGATTAAATCGCACGCTTGATTACTACTCTAAGTGCTTTGAATCGCTTATAAACACACCTCAATGTAATGTACGAGGTTTAGGGTCTCTATTTCAATACTCGCTTTGTAATCAACCTGTATATAGCTTTATACTGTACATGTGTACTTGGCTTTTAAATTATTAAGCTTTATCAAATGTATTTAACGAAATTCTCATTATTCAGATATCTCTATTTTTATCTGTTTTCAATTTAGAAATGAAATTTGTCCTTTTAATACTCAGCCCTTACCAAAATACGTATAGTTTTGTCCATTTAGAGCTAAAATCTCTATGTTTTAATGCCAAAACTAGTTGTATGCATTAGTACGAACAATTAATAGCACCATCTATGAATGCGTCGGACAAACTATATGTATTATTTAATTGGTAATTTTATAGCGCAACTATGTTAGACAAGTGAGATCTCAGTTAGAATAATGTTTGCACGCGGTTCGACAAAGCAAGTTTATTACTAGAAGGCAGCAAGTAAGCTTTTATCGACTTTGGTTCTGTAGATTAATAATTCAAAATGAGATTTAATAAAAGTTACTGAAACAGAAAGATAAATGTTGTGAAATATAACCGCGTGTCTTTAACCAAATATTTTCCTCTCATAAATGTATTTGGTCATTATGACCTCGCTTATTATCTATACACAATTTCACAAGCGTATTTGTTTAGAATAATTTGTAAGTAGTGAAGCTGTGAGTAAAAATACTAATTTAATTCAATAAATAAATACAATATTACATTTCGTTTTATTTCAATAACCTTCTATGTACCTAAACATTTTGATGTAAATCTCTACAGAGCAGCTTTCATTTAAATTGTAACGGACGTGACGTCGCCAGTCACATCATGCCAAGCCAAAGCCAAGACATGCCATGTTGACCAACCCTCCAACCAACCGCCATGCCTGCCAACCACAAATGCCAGCCACTTGGAGGGGATGAGTCTATATAAGCCAAAGCCAGCCATATTGAAACTTACTTTTTGGAAGACGTAACAAATAAAGGACAAGTGTGCTGTCACTCTGCCATTTTATTTTCACTGTCAATTATAATAAATTAAAATACAATTATCAATAAAATAATAGGTCAATAATAAAATACATAAAAACCTTAACTATTCTATTAATTCTTATACAATGCTTAATTCATTACATGTATTTAGTCTTGAACAAATGTTCCCTTGACGTTTAATTTCCATAAATATATCTAAAGGGATATCAAAATGATAAAAGATCAAACTGAGTTTATTTTATGTACAAATTTTTATTTTATTAGCCAATAACAACACTAATAACAAATAGGTTTTTATTTCATAATTATTAATTCATAATACAATAGGTCCAATTTATACAAAAAAATAAATACTGGAACATACATAGTGATTGATTTCAATATTCCTTACGATTTAAAGCCGGTGTCAAAAAATAAATAATATTAACACTGAAACTGATCTCTTGAATTGTAAGTTTGTGAAATGAATGAAGCTAAGCAGAAATTAAATATACTAAAGGGGCCAACATATTAGTAATTTAAGTTTTAGTATTAAATAATAATATATATTTTCCTACGCCCCGGCCAGCTGCCAGTGTTTAGTATATTCAAATCTCTTGTTTAAAAACCACAATATACACATTCCGATCAAATTCTTCAAACCCTGCTTTCATTACACGTCAACGCTTCAAAAAACCTAATAGCACAAGACTCATGCACACATCCTTCAACATTAGATATAAAAATTATGAAAATCATTATACACATACAAACTTATACAGTTTAAATAGATCTTATAGGCGTTCGTGCGAAAGGACAACGACACAACGTATAAATTAAAAACTCACTAAATCTGTGTCATTCTCCTTTATCACATACACAAAATAATGCTCTACGCACGACACCTCCGTACTTTCTCAAAACACGGATGTTTAAATTCAAATTTTAATATCAATTTTATCCTTATATACTAATGATAAAACATATATCAGCATATATCGCTACCTAATTGATGTTGGTAATACATCTACTAATTTGATTATAATTTTATGGAAGTTTCTATAGAATACAGACGGAGAAAGCACGCGTGCCTCGAAGAGAACTATTCTAATTGAAAAGAACAGAGTTGGGATCTTCATTGTCCATTTGCTTCACGTGCCTTAAAACGTCCTTTTTCGTGATGACGCCGAGTAAACGCCTAAAAAAACATTTTTTTATGTGTCAAAAAAGTCAAAAATTTTGGAAGTTTAGCTTAACAATATGAAATGGTAATTATTTTGGTAACAACAATAAATGCTATCCTCACCCGTTGTGCGTGACAAGTGTCTGCCTGAGGCCGAGTTTACGGAACATATCCACCACGGTCTCCATTGGTGTTTGATCAGTGACCGTGATCGGGGCCAGATCGAGAATACGGGCCAGGGGCAAAGGCGGCGGCCCGGTGGGGTTCGCAAGCGTGGGGCCGCCCCCCACAGCGAATATCACCACGGATTGACCCGTTATACCCTCTATGGTGCGACGTGCGTTCGCTGAATATAAGAATACATTAAGTCAATTAAATTATGTAATATTCGATGGCACTTTTAGCTAACAAATTTCATTTAATCTTTGTAAAAGCTTGCCTCTAAACAATTTACTACTAACGAAACACACACAGAAAGACAAATTTTTATGAGGAGCAGACTGCTCCACAGCGCTGGTCATTCTGCCAGAGACCACAACAGTGTGCGCCTCAGACGCAAAAAAAATATTAGTAAAAATTTATAGTAAATTTATAGTTGGAAGATTCATCACCAAAAATAATTACTGATGGCAAAGAATGTAGTATTAATAACTTTACAATATTGCTGAACTAACCGAGGCGACGGTTCACAGTAAAACTTTTCAGTTAACACCTGAGTTAATAAGCTGATAGAACTCACCAATGGCTAGGTTAAGATCTCTCCTAAGAACGAATCCGACAAGATATTGAGATTCCTTAGACACCACAACCGGATATCCGTTGTGTTCTGTTTCTTTTAGGAGAGTTTCCACATCATCCACTGTCATCGAATCCTGTGTGATTACGGACAGCGTCTCGTTTCGTCTGCAAAACAAATTTACATTCTATATATTTACTATTATATATATATTTCTTTAAAGACAATTCACACCAATTGACCTAGTCCCATACTAAGCTGGTGAAGCTTGTGTAATGGGTACTAGGCAACGGATATACATATTATAGATAGATAGACATATAAATACATATTTAAACACCCAAGACCTAAGCACAACACCAAATGCTCATCACATCGATGTTCGTCTCAGCCGGGGATCGAACCCGGGACCCGTGGATTCGCAGTCAGGGGTACTGACCACTAGACCAATGAGTCGTCGTCGATTATGTTACATATACAAAAATCGCAAAGTGCTAAGCCAGATTTTTTTTTATAATTTACATATCAACAGTATATCGCTACATCTGAATAAAAAATGTTGCTTCTAGATATTAAGTATTTTCTTTAATTGATAAAGAAATCAAACAAAAAACATTAGCAAAGTACAGGCGCTCTTCACACTAAACAATAATATTTCGCAAAAAAAAAGGGTGCGTGTACCTATATATTTTTATTTATATTTTTTTTTATTTATTTTTTTATTTTTTTTTTACTTATGTAATTTTAATGACGTTGTGGTTTATGACATTTTCCTTTGAATAATTGTATTGTAGAGGGAGAGCAAAACTTAGAGTTTCTTGCCCGTTCTTCTCAGAACAAGGCCTCCTGGTAGTTTTGCGAACGGATGGCGTAGTCTTGCTCTTTCGTGAATTTTGTAAACGTTGTTGACATTCATAAGCATGCTCTAAGAAGCATCTAAATTGAATAAACGTATTTTGATTTTTGATTTTATATAAGTACGCGCGAAAGAAGTTATACTTCTTTGGCATTATTAAAAATAGCTTTTGATTGCATGCAAATAATTAATTACAATTAAATAATCAAAGACTGGAAAAGGAGTCAATAAAGTACATTTGAAAAATTAAATAAATAAATATTTATTATTATTCTCTTACATTAAGTGTAACATAAATTCTGTTATTATTCGAATGTTGTTTTTAAATTATGTCCAATGCCGCATCTTCCGTGGGCAACTTCATTCTGTTAATTTTGTGTCACGGTGCACGCGCATCGTTAAATTTCACTCTCATTAATTTTTCATAACGCGCCTAAAGAAGTATAACTTCAAAAATATTGCCAGAAATTAGACATAAAGTTCAGCAGTTTAGTTCATCGTTTATATGTTAAAACTTATGTTTGATATCATTTCAAATTAATATTTTACAATCCCTTATATATATACGTACTTTGGTTGCATGACATCAGCGGCGAGCGAGGTATGCTGGAACTCGTCTTTGCTATCGAGGAAGGGATACCCATTAAGAGCTATGTGGGCGTCGTATATCCCTTGTTTGCCCAGGGCATCTCCCACCCACTTCGAGGCCATAGCGGCAGCCATCAGGGGCACGATATACCGAACGCCACCCGTCAGTTCGAACATTATCACCACCAACGAAACTAAAACACACAAATATTTTACAAAGATATATTTAATTTAGACAAAAAAATTTACCCTACCGGATTTTAATGCTATCATTCAAAAGAGTGGCGGAGAGTTATCCTCTTCCGTTCTATGATCTTCTCCCCTTGATTTGAGAACTGGCAGTGAATGTAAATTTAGAAGCATTTCATATATATCTATTTTTGGACGTTCATAAGTGTACATTATGTTACCTATATGAATAAATGATTTTTGACTTTTGATTCCAAATAATAAGAACGAATGCTACCTGTCATCCTCGTCACACCGCCGAGTACAGCCGCAGCCCCCACCATGGCGTAAAGCCCCGGCGTGATGCAGTCGTCGTCACTCGAACATTCCCCAGAAAACAACCAACTCTTTGGGTACTTGTTTGCGAGCTGTTCCACACCTGGATAACGTAATATAACATTAGTAATGCAACGACCTCACTGCGTGTACAGCCACCGAATACGCACCGATTCCAACGATCCTTCCAGGAATAGCACCGAGTGCGAGACTCGGTATGAAGAGACCGCAAGGCACCTTGATGCCGAAGGTGAAGACTGTCATCACTAGTTTGAGGATCAGCGCCAGAGTGAGGAGCCACATGGCCCGATATACCCCGTCACCTGCCACCGCGTTCTCTATTGTGTTGAGGTCCGTAAAGTTGCGCTTGTAGTCGCTATAAAAACAATTCGAGATCAGATTTTTTCAGTTCAACGCTTCTCTCAATTTAGACTCAATCTCTCTTACCATAGTGGACTATTGGAGATACCGCATTGATTGAAGAGCAGGTAAATCAACTGGCTGGTGTTCATACGAGTGTAAGGGTTGGGGTAGGCTATTATAGCAGTGACTAAGGTGACAACCAAAACCTCCATGACCGGGTACTGGCCCAACTTCGAGTATTTACGGTAACGACACCAATAGATGTTCGCTTTGATAAATATAGTTGCTATGCAACCCTGAAATGTCAAAACAAGCCTAAGAAAACGACAAAACATACCACATTATATATAAAAAAGTGCGTGCGTACAAAGTACACATGTCAGTAGTAAAACTTCTTTGTAAATTAATTATTACTAAGGTAAAGGCCGCAATAGATGATCATGTACCAGTATATGATCACTCCATGTATTTGTATATCTATATTCACACTGTTTACACACTGTATATGTGCTAATGATAATATAAATAAATAAAATATCTGCGTTTACTGCACAAGACGTTATGCGACAGAATTGCCATCTAAAGTTCTAATATGTAACTACTAAACGAATACATCAACCAATAGCGTGTATTTTTTCACGATCTCTCTTTCTCACTCTATCTCAATCGCTCTCTCCCTTTTCTTCGACAAAAACGCTGCACATCATCGTGACGTTTCTTCCGTAAAAAATTTACCTTCATGCGCCTAAAGAAGTTTTACTTCAAAAGAACCTCATTCACAATTCATCGTGAATAACAACGATTAGTTAATACTTACTCCAATTATACCAAGACCGATAAAAGGAATCAGCTCAAAGAATTTCCAAGGTTTATTGTACTCCACGTAGAAAAGTACCAAGTGCTCATTGCCAAATGGATTTATAGAACGAAGAATAAATGCCGCTATCAACGCACAGAAGAAGGATCGCCAAAGGGTCTTCAATGGGAAGTAGTACGACACCTAGAATTCAACCGAACATTTAAACCTAAAGCTAGTATAATTATAAAACATAAGTTATTATTATTTTGTGTGTTTCTGTATGTTTAAAAATGTTATGTCAATGTATTGTCGTATTAACTATTCACCTCTTCAAGACTGAAAAGCACACCACCAATGGGAGCTCCAAAAGCGACAGAGACTCCAGCCGCCGCAGCCGCTGATAAAATCTCGCGCTTCTTGGCTTCATTGCGTCCGTACTTTGGGAACAAGTACGACAATATATTACCTGAAATATTCATGAATTATAAATATTTGTCAAACCAATTATTCATTGAATAAGGATATTAACTCACCCAAACAACAAGCAATATGAACCATAGGTCCTTCTTTGCCAAGAGATAACCCCGAAGACACGGAGAGGATCAAACCCACTGACTTTATGATCAACGTCCACTTTCCCAAGTATCCACGAATGATGAAACCGCTCAAGATTGTTTTGATCTCAGGTATACCTGTTTAAGAAATATTATAGAAATTATTGTCCAGATGATAACGTGTTGCTCCCACGAGAATGTAAGTGCGTGCTCCTATTTCACCATGCCTCCTGCTGATAGAGGACAAGTCTTTGTTTTTAATTTATTTTATTATTATTTATTACTACAGATGTCATGTGGAACATGGTGTAATAGTTGCAGCTTACATTGTGTAAAACCAAAAACTTAAAATTAAAAAGAGTGCCAGTTCCTCTCTTCCGTTCTACGCCCTTGATTTGAGAACTGGCAGTAAATGTAAAATTCGAAGCATTTAGCATTTAATATGTATTTCTTTTTGACGTTCATTGTGTTACCTAAATGAATAAATTATTTTGACTTGACTTGACCAACTCTTCATTTAACATTGCCCCACGCCACGTAGTTATTGTATGTATATGAATCAATAGGTTCTTTCTGCAAAGGAAGAACGTAGACTTGAATGTTAAAGTGTGGCTAATATTTCTAGTTTGCCGTTTCTACGCAAAGGTCTGACGATAGCTTTTTCCAAAAAATAACGAACTTTTATCAGCTCGAGAAAAACTTCACTGTAAGTTCTAGAGTTTTAAATACTTATACTCATCTACTATGAGTAGTATCAATCTAATCTTCCCATAAAAGCGTCTACACACGGCCCTATAATCAGAATCAATATCGGGGAACTTTTTTTTTATAGCTCTGGCACGGTTTGTGCATTAGCCAGCGTCAAGTATAAGATTTTTAATAATTCGTGCTTGCCTTTAGAAATTCGACCGTGTCCTCCATACGGTTTAAGCACTTGCCCGGTACCGCACAACCCTCCCAAAGGCAGAGAACAAATTTAAATTAAATTAAAACTTGCCCTCGAACCGGGAATCAAACCCGGTACCCCTCACCTAGCTGCCACTTAATAAGACCGCTAGGCTATGAGGCCCCTTCGGGGAACTTTATTATCAACCCTAACTCAGAAATTGGTTGGGGCGAGCATCCCAACCACCATTAAAAAAAAAGCTGATTAGACCATGTATAACTCACCAGATCCACAAGCATAGGGCGCAAACATTCGCACTAGTGAAGCCGACAGAGCCGCAAAAGTCAACGCCCACACAATGTAGAATAAATAGCTGATAATATAAGCGCCGGGACCATCCCTTGATTCGCCAAATACTTGCGGCCACGTCAACCACTGTATATGAATAGTTTCTTGTATTAGAAGATGTAGGTAGATAACAAAAGGAAAAACTATTTTGAAACCGTCATGGAATTTTAATAGTCTATTTAGAATATAATTATAATTATAATATATAATATATAGCTTAGACAATACATGGTTGATAGGTAGTATTTACTATTCCAGAATTTAACATAAATCATTGTTTAGAGTTAAATTAGTATATCTGTAATTTTGTGAAGTGGGTGATATGTTATAGCTATGTCGCTAATAAATGCTTAAATCTGCACATACAGTTTTATTTACATAGTAAATGAAAAGTAAATATTATATACATGACAAATGACTCTAGATAAAAGATAGAGTTGTCTATGAATTTGTAATAAACCAAATAACCTCATACCTCTGAACAATTCTCGCGATCAAAAGTGATTTCATCATTGGACCAACAGCATTGTTCCCTGTTGAACCAGAAGGCTTGTGGGCAGATGCCAAACTTGAGGTCTGTCATCCATGATGCGCCAATGTCTATCACACCAGCTACCACGCCAGTGCAAATACCCACTAGAAGAACGCACACCCATCCTGACCAAGCATCGTGAGCTCCCTGAAAAACAAAAAATCAAATCAATGGTGTATATTCATATAATTCCTATTGCACAAACTTTTGTTGGCTATCGTTACTATTTTTTTCAGTGCAAGTAACTTACTCATAGCATTTAACAAGAAATTTATAACAAACACACATTTACACATGATTAGTAGAATGTAGACAATAAAATTTCAGATATTTTAAACTAAATTTTATATTTAATGTTAATGTAAAAAAATAAAAGCAAAATAGAATATAAATTGAAAACCTTTTGAACAAACAAAAATAAAAAATAAAAATACCATGTTAAACACAAAACTAATAAAGTAAAATCCTTTTTAGGCTTACCTAATTAATTATTTAAAGCTATGAACTGAATAGAATAATTGGTCTATATAATGAAAACTGACTTAACTCACTTTTATAAGATCCCATATGGAGTCCTGCCTCTTTTTGACTATGTACCTATGGCGCATACGGTCTCTGGCAATATCTCTTTGCCAGTCAATCGTGTGAAAATCTTCATACTGACCGATACCAGGAATATCATCTGCTTCACCTGAATAAACATAACAACATGTTTGTTTAGCATTCACAGCTTACCTTAGTTAATTATTAAATACCTCTTCGTGCTGTAGTCATTATTTAAACAATTTATAACATAGGTTAAACCTTAATCTACAGCAAAATTGTAACATTAAAGCTGCCACCAAGACTATTATTCAATTTTAATATAACTATTGCAATTTGTATGCACACAGACGCGCCCGCCTATTCAGACTCACAATCACGTGATGTTGAAGACATTATTGCTTCACAACTACATGTGATATGACGGCTCTTTCTTTCAAGGTCAATAACAAACATTAGACTTTATTATTATATCTAACATCAGTTCATTGTATAAACCAAAAGCATATTTCTACATTATAAATTAGTTAGTCATGCAAGCCACAACTATTATGTCTATCAACAATTTAAGCTGTTAGCATACAATTACTAAGCAAAAGGAAGCAAAGTGTCTCACCTGGCAGCCCAGAGAACATCACGGCGTCCCCTGAAAAGGTTTTTTGCTAATTTAACGCCTAAATCTAGACACTTTTACGTCATTATGCTACGAATACGCGTGCTGAATTCAACAAGCTACAGCAGTGCTAATTAAGGTACAGTTAGATGACCGGGAAAAGTTTGATTATAAAAACAAAGGAAATTCTCGAAGTGGACAACAAGTGTGAAGTTCAACTAAACAGGAACTGTCGTCGTTCTGGTAACAGCTGATTATTCACTGTTAATGTCTCCAAATCTCAAATTTGACATTGACATTGACAAATTACATTTCGTCAGGAGACTACTCGCTACGTATACTTTTTCCGTTAACTTTAAAATATCAGTCATTGTTTTTGCTGTTTTGTTATCGCGCTAGACTGGTTTTTTATACACGATCACGCAAACGCAATATTTTTCCATTTAAATATAATCACGCAAAGATTCGTTAGTAGGTATTTAATGTTAATCATACTATAAGTCACGTGCTATCAGCATACAAAAATATTTAAATTATTTAAAACTGTAACTCTTTGTGAAATGAAGCCTTAAGTACAAATAATTTTAACTACATACATTGGTATGTTACTGGTGCTCAATAAAATACCGTAGTAATAATAATTATTACATCAATAAATTAGCGATACTTTCCACAAAATAATAATAATTTAACAAAAAATTACACATTTAGTTTACCTACATCATCACCTACTAGGGGCGCCGACTCCCCGGGATCAAGGATTGACTCTTCCATCATTATTATTATGTATTAAGAAAACAAATAGATGACGACTTCTCTTACTGAATTTATTTTTAAAACTGATAAACTTCGCGGATTAAAGACCAAATCTTATCTCTTCCAAACTTGATTATTTTTATTGCAATATTGGCATTTTGGCAAATAAATAAATGAAACGAGAGTGTTAAAGAAGGTTTCTAAGGGAAGTTGATGCATTTTGTAGAAAATTGTGAAATGACAACAACGTACGAGGTGAATGTTTATATAAAATATGTGCGCTAGTTGTGATTGTTTAATTAATGAGAGCTAAAACCACAAAAATGCAAATAGCTTAACAACGTATACAACAACATTACTGCGCCATTTGTTTTACGATTTGTTTAATCTTACCGGACGACGAACTGAAGTATTGAGCGATGTATGCTTGAAAGAAAAATTATTTAGCATATAAAACTTATAGTACATAATTAAACCCAACCAACCAAATAACTATACATGGCACATATTTTTTTTAATATACTATCTATTTACACCATGTATATGTCGCAGCCAACTACCTTAATTAGCCGTTCAGTAAACAGCCTAGCCTTTTAACTAGCGGCCTGAAAGATATTCAGCCGTAGCGTTTGTTACAACATTTAATCTGGTTGACTAATGCTTATGCCATTCGTACGATAGAGTTATTATTTGGCAGAAATAAAAAAGATGAATCATATGCATAAAAAATATTTCTTTTAAAATTAAATTGCTTGAGTCAAATTCACAATATTATTGTCCCTACAATCTTCCATTGTACTTGTTGTTTTTCATGAAACTTTGTAAAACACCATCAAAGTTGTGGTTTTCCGACGCCATATTGCAGTTTGAAGAGTTTCGAGTTTGAGAGTGGCAGAAAGAGAAATTAAATTTATATTATCAGTCAACAGGCTAGGCAAGTAATGAAACGTCATGGATCTAAGTCATTTGCCTAGCTGTTTGATCAACATCTTTCAGGCTGCTAGTTAAACGGCTAGGCTGTTAATTGAACGGCTAATTAAGCCAGTTGGCTGCGACATATATAAACATATTCTACGAATAATGACAATATTGAGTATCAACAAAAACTAAATGTATTCAATTAATAAATAGTTAAGACGATTTGATAAAATTGAATTTTTTTCACTTCCATTTATAGCAGAATCAATTTGTCTTCGATTAAGCCATTTAACTAAATAGAAGCCACCACAGATTTCCTTAAGTGCTTTCTCGATATCGAGGTGCATTCAACTAAGTGCAATCTCTCTTAATTCATACCTATCAACCTGATACCTATTTATTCTATCTATATATTTATAAAATCTAAATCATTATACTTCTTTTGGCCCGTTAGCGAAAAATGATAACAGTAATTTTACGATGCGCGCGCACACCGTCACAAAAATCGACACCCTGAAGTTAGCTATAGTCAACATTTTTTTTTTAAGTTATACTTCTTTTGACGCGTTAGGGAAAAACAATGAGAGTAATTTTTTTTTAGTGTCGTTTTTTCTACAAACGTAGAAAAAGGAGAAAGATAAAAAAAAAATAAAAAGAAAAGATTTTTATCTTGTTACGCCAAAGAAATATAACTTCTAACGCGTGTACTTAAGTACACCCACGTTTTTTTTTCCTTAACCTTCAGGGTATAAGTGTCAGATCTCATTTACTAATCATATAACGGATAAGTACAGTAGTATAATAATGTTTTTTAAACTCACATGTAGCACTCGCGTCGCTGTACCTCGTGCCATGTTCATATAACTGGAAGGTACCGTGGCTAGTGGGAGTAGTGGGAGTATCGGCCGCGCGCTGCGACCCTGTATTAATGTTCACCATGTCATCTTCTCCACTTGGATCCCCGTGGCCGTTTCCCTGACTAGTACCCTGAATAATAAACCATAATTGGTAAAAGATATAACTATGATATAGTTTCATAAGTGAAGCTTCAATCATATATCTATAGTTCCTTTCTGAGTGAACGATATTGACGGTAACATTCATTTTAGTGAGAAATGAGAAACAAAACATTTCACAGAAGTTTAATTTGCAATACTTGTGGAAAAAAAAATTAAACAAAAAAAATAGATAAAAATAATCTTTGCTGCGGATTATATGTCATGCTAAAATTTCAGCTCGATCGGTGCAGAACTTTTTTAAGTTATTGAAGCATACACAAACCAACATAACATTTTATATATATAGATATACGACACAGAGTGGTCACTAATTCCACGTAAACTAGATTACTGTAAATTGAATTAGTGTGGGCAACGAACTAATTAATATTAAGTGCATCTATCTACTGATAATACGATTTTAAATTTATAGAGGATGCATTAACAACGTATGGTCGCGACATAGATTGATAAGCGTGAGATTTTAGCGGTGCAATTGATCTTTAAGTGTGAGGTGTAATATATAATATAAAGCAAGACTTCCTGATACTCAAGAGGCTCTCAATGTGATACGGATGGCTATGAATTACCTACAAAAACATCAAACTTACAGAAAAAACTGTTGTGGAAAGACCTGATTATACAGAACAATAACATTTAAAATTACTGTGAAAATAAACTTTCAACGATTTACGTCAATGCATTTAGATGTAACGTATTACACGTCGTACACTGTTATCGTTGACCTGTCTTGTCCATTAAATACAATTATAGGTTTTTAATTAACGCGCAGCTTATATGAATGCAACGTTAACGTAAGGTAATCGGTTCGAATTAACTATTTATATATGTTGAACCTAAATTTGCAAATTCTCAACTATTTACTTGTTAATTAATAAAATAAATGTTATTACAAATATTTAAAGACGTTTGTTCAATATTGCGTCATGTTGTCTCAGCGCGGTAATTCGCAATAAAATTAGTTTGATATGCAACAAGAATAGTATGAAATGTACATCATTGCTATACAACAAAATCCTTCCTTCTAGAAATATGAATGTACAATGAAAATAGAGCGGTTTTGTATTTACTTAGCAAGAAATTTAACTTACAGGGTGTATAATATTACATTTGATTAAGATCGTCAATAAATATATACGTATTAGTTACAATTCATAATATCAAAATTCATAGCATAAAACAACTGCGACTTTACTGAAACTATACAAATACTCACTCATCACACAGTTAAGAACCAATAATCAGTATAGAGGAAGAGAAAAGTTGATTAACTCCGAATACAAGCGTATTAGTATCGAAGCCCGATTTGGAGCCCTCAGGGCGAGCGAAGCGGTGACTACGTATTGCCGAGTTTACAAAATCGATATTCTTGCCACAGAGCACAGTCTACGGCGCAGCGCCAAATCATGGGGAACGACAACGAACAATCCACAGTGACGTATTCATGTTTATTAAAACTGATTTAAAAGTTTATCATTCGTAACAGCGTAGTAAAGGGACTTGTTTTGAAATATTGTTACACAAACTTAAAAGAATATAGCGTTTTTTACTCAGTCGCGTTTGAAATTTTACGGCCCGTGCGCAGTAGCGCTCTAGACGAGATTGAGGCTTGAGATACGAATTAGAATATATATAAGAATATACAGATCTATGTATCTTAATAATGTGATCAAGATCATATTTTCTGACACACATGACGATTACCTCAAGGCGAGGAAGGTTGCAGTATGAAGTGATTGATTCACTATATAATGAAGAACGAATTTCGCACAATAATAAAGTATTCTATTGTCGGAGTTCGAAGCCACGAACTCATATTTGTAATTGACGCGTCTAGCTATGGGATAAAAGCTTCTCTGAAACCAATCGCAATAAAGGGATTCGAGCTTTTATTAAGACTACAGTACTTTTAGATAAGAGAAAATAAGAAAAAAGGTAATTAGGGCATAAACATACTTCGTTGCTCACCGTAAAAAGAAGCAGAATCATCGTAGATACGATAAAAGTTATTGTAGCGCGGTTATGTCGTAATTGATTTAACACGAAGGTCAAAAGATGCGTCCGAGTGTGATTTCTGTTTTTCTCTGATTGATCTGAATTTGAATCTTAATAAATCACGCATTTTTCCTAAAACCTTAGCCAATTCAATTTATTTTCATTTTAGGGATGTGAAAAATAATCTCATTATGGAAATAATCGATGGAAAATCGATGTTTTTTAAGTGAAAATCAATTTTTGTACGCGATTTTAATATTAAAAATAATCGATTAATAATCGATTCTTTTTATAATTGGAAATCAATCGACTCGAACTATTAGGGACATTCGATACACACGTTTACAATGCGATACATTGAATAGATCCGATGCTTTGTAGATGCATTGATGTTTTTATAAAACGTCGAAAGGATAATAAAACCAGTTAATTCCACAAAAACTCAAGTTTAAATTGACCAATATAATTTAAAAGTAAAATAAATTTATTCAGCAGCACAAGGTTACATACAATAAAAAAGACAGCAAAAATACTGCAATCTGCTTCAGAAAAGGCATAGACTCAGCATCTATCTAATTTCACCTAAAATCTATCAAAACGAGATTAGGTTAGTTTCGATTTTGATTATTCTAAAACTTTAATTTGTTTATAATTTCTATTGCTTATTATTAATTAATAAAACCATGATAAATAAAATATTTAAGGTGTCTATTTTGAAATTAGTTAAAAAATTAGGAAATAATCGGTTAATAAAAAATCGTTTTTTATGCAGAATGTCACATCCCTACTTTGGTTATGCATATAAAAAAAATTGTTGTTATTTTACTGATCAACTTGATAATCAACTTGATCAGTAAAATAAAGAAGACCACACTCTACATCATTACTAAAGGAATGTTGCATTTACTATCTTTATAAAGAGTTGTCATTATAAGAAAAATAAATTACACTTGGTGGTTAGGGCAAACTAACGTTGGTCAACATTGAGTTGAATGTTAAATTGAGTGGCATTATATGGAGTTTCTCTGTGTCAGGTCGGTAGCTCATGTCTAAACGTCAAGGTTAGCAGCTTGAAAGGATTATCTGTCTATCAGTTACTGTCCAGCACCTCTCTTATTGGAGCATAGTCTTGATTGGTGCACCTGGTTTGTGAACAGCCGTGCGATATTTCGCTATCAGTGTAATCAAACACAAACAGTTTCTTAAATCATATGACCGAAATATGTGACGATGTGTTCCAGGCATATAGTAGTGAGGTCAGAACTATGTATTATTAAATTATTGTATGTGCATGTTCCATGATTTATTAAATCTCCTTTGAATATAAATGATTGAAATGGGTTTCCCCATTCACTAAACACATTATTTATATAATTTGATCTTTCTTAAACACAGTTAAAGTAGTAAAGAAGGAAGAATAATTTGAAAGTATGTATATGAATTAAAATAAGTGCAGTAAACCTGATCTTACCTTTTTATAGACAGATTGATATGTAGCTGCCATTTTAGTTGCTTTTAGAGGGAAACGCTCCATTGCCAAAATCTTAAAAAATATATAAAAGCAATTTTAGTAATAGTAAAATCCTTATCCTTGAGTAAAGTATATGTTTATAATTCATAACCTATTCATATTTTATTGTATCACAATAAAGGCTTAATTATGTATTTAAACTTTATAACAATCATATAAGATAGGTCTTAGGCTGCTTCTTAGGGCTGATATTGACATAACAAATGATTGAGTTATATATATTTATTACATAGGACCAATATTCAAAACATTAATGTAAAAGTATGACAGGTGCTCTTAGAAATATATTGATATTTCATAATATACTGTAATATACCAAGAAAAACTAAGAGTTTGTTATATTATCTTGGTTTAGTCATAATGACTTGTTAATAATTAAAATGCTATAATTGTAATGATTTATAATGTTTTCCAAAACAATATTGAAAGGAGAACTTATTAAAACCCAAATATAGTTAATGTCCATAATTTTAGCTTTGTCGAGATTTGTGCCAATTTTAACGTCTCACTACGCCCCCATTGGACTACCGTGATCGTAATATTTCACAATATTGATTGCCTTAATATAAAATATTACTCCAAGCGCCTACTTATAACAATAAATTTTGATAGTAACTAAGTTAAACGCTTTCAATGTTACAGAATCATTATTAACCCTAGTATGGAAAGTAATTGTACGTTTCCTAAACAAACTAACGAAGCATCAAACTAATAATTTACTTACCTAAATAAAGGTGTACATTTTACAATCTGATAACACTAAACAACTTATTAAAGTAACACGTAGTTTTAAACGTGAAATTTTAGTAGCTACTGTTCCTAAAATAAAACTTGTTATGAAAATGAAACTGGTGTTGCCAACAGCCAAGACAATTGACATTTATATTTTATAACTTGGACACGGGGCTTAGTCAAGATGCCTTAATAATAGTGTACACTGTACATATAGAAAGACGAAAACTAAATTTGGGGGGGCCTCATAGCCTAGCGGTCTTATTAAGTGGCAACTAGGTGAGGGGTACCGGGTTCGATTCCCGGTTCGAGGGCAAGTTTTAATTTAATTTAAATTTGTTCTCGGCCTTTGGGAGGGTTGTGCGGTACCGGGCGAGTGCCTAAACCGTACATGGAGGACACGGTCGAATTTGTAAAGACAAGCACGAATTAATAAAAATCCTATACTTGACGTTGGCTAATGCACAAATCGTGCCAGAGCCATAAAAAAAAAAAAAAAAAAAAAAGTAAAACCTAAATTTGTATGAAAATTTGTCGACACAAACTGTCATTTTAGATATATATATATATATATATATATATATATTTCGAGTACAGACACAGACTGCAACGGCCTTAGAATTGATCATAGACCCATCATTTAAATAAATATTTACTTTCTTGTTGTGGTTCATGAGAAGTGAGCCAATTATACTTTAATTAGCCGCACTGCAGTCCAATGATTGTAACATAGGTTTTGATTATGTGCTGTGTAAATATACTCGCTGAGACATCACGAGACCCACTGAGTTCCCTCTCGGTGTATAAAGGGTTTCGTCCTTGCAAAGATTATCTGCCAAAATTTACATGCACCTATACATTAAGAGTAAAAATTAATTTGATATTGACATACGAGACAATAATATCAAATTCATTTTAGCATAGCGTTTGCTAGCGTATAGTTTGCTAACTATAACTAGTTAGCAAACTATACACTAGAATAGAGGCATAATATGTTTTAAATACATGTATATAGTTAATTTATTGAAGTCTTTCACCTTTCTTATAAGACACGGAGAAAATGAATGAAGTCTCACAAAATATAAATTTTTTCATTTAGTAAATATTAATAAAGTAGTAGTGAGTGTCGTATATTAAAAGTTAAGTTTTAGATTCGGTAGCAGAGGACTACTTAATTCGAGTTGAGATGCGCAGTTTTTTTTATATTCTTATATTAATCATTACAGATTTTATTTTTAATTGGATGAGATGATTTTATCTACCTAATCTATGGATAGATTTTTGGTAGTTTTTTATATTATATTTTATTTATTAAAAACGGTCCCTACGAGGCCGCTTTTTAAGAAAAAACAGGAATAATAAATCATAATTATTATTAACATTTTGCCCCGATAATAGATACCTATTGGTCGAACAAATCGCTACAATGTAATATAATTATTATATCGTGGGAGAAAAGTGGCAACTTTAGTGTGTGTATCAGATTTTATTTGTTTTAAGAAAAAAAAAGTGACACGTCCACCCACCCTGTCAAACGTTCATGGTTGTAACTTTTATATTAATTTGTAACGAATTCAAGAAAATTTCATGTATTAAGTTCTGATAATGGTAAGTTAGCCTTTTACCTTAAGGGAAAGTTCCAAATACATACTTATATTTATGCCCTACGTTCTGATGATATGTCAGCCACGTATTTACTACTTAGTTGGAGTATGTCATCACTTACATGTCGGCTTCTGATTGTAGCTAAATTTTTTAGTTTGTATTAAGATTTTAAAATTGGTTATTAAGGGTACAATAAGCGATATTATAATCTGACATTATTATGCTCGTACAGCCGCTAAGACTTGATATAAAGAGGAAGTTGACTGCGAGGTCTGATCGCGTCAAGTGTGTAGATCAGCATCCTACAGAACCCTGGCTTCTATGTGCGCTTTATGATGGCGACGTCAACATTTGGAATTATGAAACACACACGCAGATTAAAAGATTTGAGGTAAGCATAGCTCCAAACAGTTTTTATGTGTCTGAGGGTTAAAACTAAAAATTAAATACTGTATGAAAGCAACTTAACAAGTAAATAATGATTCTATTTTTTTATTAGGTTTGTGATCAACTACCTGTTAGGTCTGCAAAGTTTGTGCCTAGAAAGAATTGGGTGGTCACAGGCTCTGATGATATGCAGATAAGGGTTTTTAATTATAATACTCTTGAGTGTGTACATTCATTTGAGGCACATTCTGATTATATCAGATGTATTATTGTACATCCCACACAACCCTTTATTCTTACTAGCAGTGGTAAGTTATTAATTTAAATTCCATTGATATTATGCACTTATTGAAATTTATATAGCTTCAAAGTTTTATACAAAGATAAAATTGTAATTAATGATCCTTTGTTTATATAGATGATTTGTTGATAAAATTATGGAATTGGGAACGCAACTGGGCATGTCAGCAAGTTTTTGAAGGACACACTCATTATGTAATGCAAATTGTTATTAATCCCAAAGACAACAACATGTTTGCTAGTGCCAGTTTAGATACAACAGTAAAGGTATAATATATACATTTGTACTACTATAATTTTTTTTTTGTGATAACCTTATTGTTTTATATTACCTCATTAAGGTTTGGCAACTGGGTGCGTCTATATCAAACTTTACATTGGAGGGGCATGAAAAAGGAGTTAATTGTGTGGACTATTATCATGGAGGAGACAAGCCTTACCTTATTAGTGGTGCTGATGATCGCCTTGTAAAGATATGGGACTATCAAAATAAAACTTGTGTTCAAACATTAGAAGGTAATAAAAAAACAAGTAACCTTTTCATTCAAATACAAAATATATGATGCGTTTACAAGTTACATAGAAAGATGCAAAATTTTGTTTCTATTTGAAAAGTATTTAATAATTTTTACAAGAAATTGTTTTCAGGTCATACACAGAATGTATCAGCAGTTTCATTCCACCCAGAGCTGCCAATCCTTTTGACTGGATCAGAAGATGGCACAGTTAGGCTCTGGCATGCAGGAACATATCGCCTGGAGTTTTCTCTTAACTATGGGTTTGAGCGTGTGTGGACAATTTCTTCTTTACATGGCTCTAACAATGTATCAATTGGGTTAGTGTACTCTCTCTATCTTCTTTAGATATTTATGATTTTTTTTGTTTATTTTATCTATCTATTAAATTTCAGGTATGACGAGGGTACCATAATGATAAAAATTGGAAGGGAAGAGCCAGCTATATCAATGGATGTCAGTGGAGGCAAAATCATATGGGCCAAACATTCTGAAATGCAGCAGGTCAACTTAAAAGCACTCCCCGAAGGTAAGTTAAATATAATAATGTACAAATTCAAAATCCTTTTTGTTTACATAAATATTAACAAATTTATATTGCAGATATTGATATTAAAGATGGAGAACGTGTGCCTGTTGTTGCAAAGGATATGGGCTCATGTGAGATATATCCACAGACAATTCAGCACAATCCCAATGGACGTTTTGTGGTGGTATGTGGTGATGGAGAATATATTATTTACACTGCCATGGCCTTACGCAACAAAGCTTTTGGGTCCGCCCAAGAATTTGTCTGGGCACAGGATAGCTCGAAATACGCTACATTAGAAAATTCAAGCACTATCCGTGTCTTTAAAAATTTTAAAGAAATAAAGAGTTTCAAGCCAGAATATGGAGCTCAAGGTACTTTCTTTGTTAATGTGAAAGTTTTGCTTTTCCTCAGTATTGTTCTATTTGCTAAAATTATAATTTGTTTTTAAGGGATCTTTGGTGGCTGCATGTTAGGTGTGAAGTCAATAAGCGGTATGGCCTTCTCGTTTTATGACTGGGAACGACTAGAACTGATAAGAAGGTAAGCTATAAACAACATTGTTTCTAAAATTTATTAACTAATTACTATAAAAATAATATAAAATATACTTTGAAAAAAATTAAATATATATTATATGTTATGTTACATGCTATGCGAAGAAAAAAGTCACTGAATTCCAAGCTTATTTTTTATAATAAATATATTTAGTTATTGAATAAAAAATATAAAGTAATTGTTTGAAACATTAACAGAGTTGACATGCTTAAATAAATAATTTTAACTTTGCGTACCAATCTTTACATCAATATTTATAATGTTATGAAAAATACTATTCACCATAAGCTTGTACTAAAATTCGTCCAAACAGGTTAAGCGATTGTCATAAAGATAGATAAAAAATTTAAAATGAGTATTAAGTATGGGTTCTTCTTTTATTTGTAGTTTGCGATGTGGAAGTTTAATGCAATGTTTGATGTTTTTTTAATACTCTACAGTAAAAAAACATGAATGGCTGTTGCGAATTTGCAATTGTGTATGCTTCTTGTTATTTACAAACTGAAAATCTATTATGCCACATTAAAAATATATGTAATAGATATTTATAAAGAATTATGGTAATTAAAACTAATATTTATGAATACTTAACGGTGTGTTTTTGTTTAAGTGACAAGAAATAAATTATAGTACCTAGTTGGTTCTTGGCTTTATTATGTAATGTAAAGTAGATAGTACCCTGACTGAAACAAAATATTAGACATTTATGCTTTAGCGAATTTTATAAATTTATAAACTTTAATAACATGCTGGGCACTATTATTTTATTTATAAATTATGTGAACAACTTGCAAAAAATTTATATAATGTGTGCAGTGCTTTTTAAACGTACATTATTTATGTATCATTTCATGATTTATACTGTTTGTGATTATATAGTTTCAATTCCAATAACAGATATTAAAAATCCTTTGATTCCTTAATAAGAAAAAAACGATGTATTTGTCAACAGAATAGAAATTCAACCTCGTTATGTCTACTGGTCGGAGCCTGGAAATTTGGTGTGTCTCGCCACAGATGAGTCTTATTTCCTCTTGAGTTATAATGCCAGTGTTGTTAACCTCTCACGGGAGACAAACACCAATATTACTGAAGACGGCATAGAAGATTCTTTCGATGTAAGTATAAAAATTTTGTATAAAGGGCGCTAAGTACCCTATAATATATATTTGATTGCACCTATTCACTGGTGGTCGAAAAATAGAAGAAATGTCTAAAAGTGTGTTAGGGAGCATTCAAGTATTACGTAACGAATTTTATCCTTTTGTAAAACGTTACGATGCGGGGCGGGGATTAAATTACGCGTTATTGTTAATATCTTTTTCGACTTACACCACATAATAGTAACTAAAGAGTCGCTAGGTGGTCGCGAAACGTTTTACTATACTTGGGTACAGTACTGTACCTGGGTACTGAATAACGTTACGGCGAGTTACATGGGGGGGGGCAATAATCTCCAAAAATTCCGTTACGTAATACTTGAACGCTCCCTTACAAGTTATATATCTCAACAAGTGTTATTGATCTCTGAAATAAATTTTCGTATCTCTGCTGGCCCTGTGACCCAATTTACAAAAGAGAGATAAAACATAGAGATGGGAAGATCAAATAATAGCCGTTTATATACCACTAGCAGAGTGCGAACTTCATTTCTCTTTAATGTGATTTAACTCAGCCTACCTTTTTAGTACATACCATCATGGAACATTTTGCTATGCTACCCCAGAGACTGACTGTTCGATTTTCCGGAATGAAAACTTTTTAGGTTTTTCTGGGAATTTTTCTCTATATAAACCTCAGAGTTAAGGCATAAGTATTTGATTAACAAATAAGGGTTGTATGTATTTTGTATGATGTATCATACAAAAATAAAAAACAAATTTTGGGGTGGACACCCCTTATCACTTAGGGTTTGAAAGATAGATAGCAGTCGATTCTGAATATGCTTAAAATATTTCATAAGAATCGGTCGAGCCGTTTCGGAGCAGTATGGGAACGAAGATTGTGACACGAAATTTTATATATTAGATAATATTATGATTTCAGCTTGTTGGTGAAGTGAATGAAGTTGTGAAAACTGGTCTGTGGGTTGGCGACTGCTTCATCTACACAAATTCATTGAACAGAATTAACTATTATGTTGGTGGAGAGATAGTTACAATATCACACCTCGATCACACTATGTACATTTTGGGATACGTTGCGAAGGAGAATCGGTAAGTTATATTTAATTTTAGTTTCTCTTTTGTTTTTTGGATATTGGCTCTGAGATGTCTTTTCGATGATTTTTCAAGCAGCTCTGTCTTCCGCCTCGCCTTTTATCACGCTTCAAGTCTTTCTGTATCTCCTTGCCTCATCTGGAGGTGTATGTCACCAGGTTTGACATTGGAATTTCTTGAAATGTGAGGCCTATCCTGTTTCTGTCCACTTTCAAGGCTTGATTTGCTGGTCAATCGAGGTTTCGTGGCAGTGTCTCAACAGTTGTTCGTTACAGATTTTCTCAGACCACTAGATTTTTGTTTATTTGTGTCCTCATAATTATTATATCTTTTTAATTTACTAATGCTATGCTACACAATAATACCTACACCGGGTTAATTTTACATAAAAATACAAATTTGATACTTATATAAGTACCTACATCTTATACATAATAATAAAATTATAATAGACTACTACAAACAAATAGGTCTACCTCGATAAAAACCTCGCGTAACCTCCTCGCTAAGTTTTTGGTTGACACCTACCCATGCAGTCGCTCTATTATATACATTTCGCAGCCATCGCGTAAGTATCCTAAATAGGTATATTGATATAAACCAAGAAAAATAGGGTTGGTTAAAAAGCGGATACAAAAGGTGCACTCTATACAGTGTTGTGTACAGGTGAATTTATTTTGTACCCTATAATGTGAGACTGTTAAGCTTCATATGTGGCCCACAACATTGCTTCGTTTCAGATATCCGTAATATGAACCATAGATTTCTGTAAGCATCTTCTATTATTTATTATACATATTCTCAGAAGTCCCTCTGAAACTCTTATTAAATACTATATAAAGAATAAAAGATATAACTTTGTATTTTTACAAATTAAACTCCAATCTATTTCATATGGTCTTACTAACTATTGGATCAAAATCTTGCTGCAGTTACACTGTCATCTGTAACACTGCTTTAGTTATTGGTTTTATTTGGCTAGGCCTATAAGAAGCTGTACAGCCATTCTTGATGATGAAGTTCTGTATCGTAGCGTCCATAAACGACAGAACCGGTAAAAGTAGGTTTCGGTTACTGTGTTCTTGTCCAAAAGACGGTTCTTAAGGGAATTTACATTTTTTTCCATTTTCTGTAGTTTATCAACTTTCTTAATCTATTCCATAATCCAACGTGTTTTCTGCAGTGCCTTATATGGCTTTTGCTTCATTAGTTGATGGTCTAGTCGTTTTAGACGACATATACTATGTCGTACCTGAATAGCTTCAAAGTTAGTGTGTAAAATTTTGATGCATTTAATATGATGGCCGTTGTACTTTGTAACGAAAAAAAATAATATAAAGAATGAACTATACAATTGTTGTTTAGAAAAAAATAAAAAGTCCGGTGATATGAATTCAACCTGGATCACCCATGAAGGTTGTTAGATCACTTGTTGAAACAGACGTATTTTTTTTGTATATAAATAGTATTCATTTGAGTGAATTCTGCCATTATGTTGTGCTGAAAAAGCACCAACTTTCTTGAAGTAGCTGTACTTTCCCTACTAACCCAGCCTATCTACCTATCTTTATTTATTGACTATTGTTCTAACAAGAACGAACTGATTCCTCTGAATATTCGACATGTTAAAGTACGTTTAGTGAAAATGTACATATATTTTCAGGTTGTACTTAAATGACAAGGAGTTGAACGTAGTGTCGTATTCAGTTCTTCTCCCAGTTCTTAATTACCAGACGGCAGTAATGCGACGTGACTTTGAAACTGCTGATCAGATCCTGCCCACCATTCCTCATGAGCATCGCACTAGAGTCGCACATTTCCTTGAGAAGCAGGTACATATTATATAAAAGTTTAAGTAAATTACTGGAATTAAAACAATACTAAAATTATATTTTATTTTTAGGGCTTCAAACAGCAAGCATTAGCGGTGTCGACAGAGCCAGAACACAAGTTTGAGCTGGCTTTATCGTTAGGTGAACTGGAAAAGGCCAAACAGTTGGCCGAGGAAGCCACCATTGCTGAGGGTCTGCCTTCCGAAACGTCTGCAGCCAGGTATTATATGCTTTTGTCATTAACAATAAATATATACAAACAGAGAGAGAGAGAGTCGTAATTATATTTGTTTTTGCAGTGGTTTAAAAAGATAACAATAGTATATACAAACAACTTTTAATCGGCAGCTCATGTCTGAGCGGCGTGGTCACCAAGAAAGCGCCTGGAGCGGTCTATCTGTTTCCACCGGTTTCTGTCCAGCGCCTCTCTTATGACAGTGTACAGTTTTGAGGACGATGAGGCTTTCACACGATCGGTCCATTTGGTCGGTGAACGGCCACGTGATCTTTTGCCTTCTGTGTTACCAACCACGATTCTCGAAATTCTCATTGCCTCTGCGCATACAACAATGGTACCATTATTCAAATCTGAGAACCAGTGATTTAAAGAATGTTCTTTTTTTTATTGAAATTAATGTGATGTGATTTAACATGAAACATTATTCTCTCTAAACAAACGTTAAAAACGGAAACTATAAACCTACTGACTTAAATTTAATATTCAGTTTTAGCAGTAGCTATTAATTTTTTTTTATTAAATTATTCACGGAAAAAACTTTTTTGCTGGGACTATTTTATTACTAGCGGCTTTTGGTTGTAAAAATCTTGTGGAGATGGAATAATAAAAACACTTTGGAAAAACAATTTGGAACACCCAAAAACCTGCACCCTACAATGAAAAGACGGCGTCTGAATGCAATATAAATAAATATAAGTATACTTTATTTCAACAGATGGTCGAGGCTCGGTGCGGCTGCGGCTGCGGCAGCCGATACTGAACTAACGAAGGATTGCTATCAGAATGCTAAAGATTTCAGTGCCTTACTTCTCTTCGCCAGCAGTACAGGTATGTTGCGCGTGTATATGGTTTGTGTATGTACTGGCATGTGTGTCAAGTGCTAAACAAATTGCTATGTATAAAAATTTTAATTGTTACATATTCATTATCGGTGTACAAGTCTGATTTGTCGGGCAGGTGATGGAGAACTATTGGAAGAAGTAGCAAATCGCTCTGCTGAAGAAGGCGAAGACAACATCGCCTTCGTAACTTATTTTATGTTGAATGACCTTGACAAGTGCCTTGAACTACTAATTAAAGCGAACAAACTGCCCGAAGCCGCATTTTTTGCCAGGTATATTAACTTATATACAGTGTAAAATCTATATAGCGACACTCAAGGGACTGGCTATTTTGACGTTACAAACAGTTGCCGTTAAATGGAAAGGAATATCTGTATTAGAAAAAGAAAGTTTTGTTCAGACTAGTGTTAATAATTACATTAAAAATCGTATTTGAACGCTATTGCGTTGTCTGTTATTTTTGTACTGTACCAGTAGTTAGATTGTATTTTTGAAGTTATACTTCTTTAGGCGCGTTATGAAAAATTGATGAGAGTGAAATTTTACGATGCGCGCGCACCGTGACACAAAATTAACGGAATGAAGTTGCCCACGGAAGATGCTACGGCATATTTATTTAATTTTTCAAATGTAAACTGAACTTTATTGACTATAATGACTCCTTTTCCAGTCTTTGATTATTTAATTGCAATTAATTATTTGCATGCAATTAAAAACTATTTTTAAAAATGCCAAAGAAGTATAACTTCTTACGCGCGTACATAAAGTACACGCACCTTTTTTTAGATATTTAATTCATATCTTGCGATATTGAGGCATTTTCGTAATAAAGCACATACAAGCATGCGCAATTTATATAAACAACTGATTTCTTGGAAATTTCGGTACGTATGCCGAGTACCGACAGTCGTTTATTTCTCGCTAGGACAATAAAGCGACAAAACAATGTACATAGCCCCGCGGTTTTAACTAATTTCGGCAACTTAAATAGTACTTTTTAGTATTTAGTTGTTGTTGTTATTGAGGGTGATGGTATGTAAAGTGTTGTATGGGAGACAAGCTAAACCAATCAAAACCGAGTGATTTGGACGCTTTAAGCAATTTGTCGTTAAATCGAGGGACGTTATATGGAGTTTACACTGTATATTTAGAATTTATTTTTTAAAGTGCAATATTCCAGTTATAGGCCGAATTACGTCACAGGAGGAACTTCAGAAGAATTGAAAATGTATTGAGTGTTTTGAATTTTTCAGATCATATATCCCTTCACAAGTCAACGAAGTAGTGTCATTGTGGCGTGACGTGGTCGGCTCCACGAACAAAAAGTCCGGACAATCCCTCGCCGATCCTTTTAAATATGAAAATCTTTTCCCCGAATACGATGTAAGTCATTTAAGATATTAAATATATGTATCGAACGTGTTGCAAATATAAAAATACTAGCTGACCCGGCAAACGTTGTTTTACCATGTATATTATTTCTAGGAAACTAGAAATAACTATCTATTTTAATAAAAATTATGATTGTAGAGAGATGAAAATTAAGGGTTTTATGCATTTTTGTATGCTGTATCAAACAAAAACAAAGAAATTTGTCTAAAAAAAACAATTTAGGGACCACCCATAATATTTAGGGGGATGAAAAATAGATATTCAGTTTACATCAAAGTTCACGACAATCGGTCAAGCCATTTCGGAGTTTAATTACGAGAATTTTATATATTAGATTATGTTTTCATCATAGTAAACAATTATTTAGAGAACCTCTAAAAATATTGTTTAGTCTAATAAAATTTATTCGATTAATGTCAAAATTAAGGTTGCTAAAACTATCCTATTGTAGAAAATACTCGTCTCTTTAATTTTATAATTATAATATTTTAATTATTCAATTTTAAACGTTTATAAAATCGATTATTACTATACCTTGTAAAACAATTATTTGTGACATTATTTGATATCAAAATCTTTGAAATACAATTTCTAACAAGAAATTTCTTATCAAATTCATCCCAGATTTTTGAGATTACATTGACAATTGACAGATTTATGCTTAACTCGGCGCCTATTAATAAAAAGAGTTAAAGTAATCATATTATGTAGGTTATGTCGTATGTACCTTGTTTTGTTGAAATCACTTTTGCCTTAACCAAATCATATGTAAAATCATTAGCTATATATCCCATACGATACAGTTGATACGCTCGAACTGTCTTAAACTGAAGGAAGTTTGTGGTATTAAGGGAGCGTTCAAGTATTACGTCATGTAACGCGCCGTAACGTTGTTCTGTACCCAATAGTAAAACGTTTCGTAACCATCCAGTGACTCTTTATAGCTAAAAGTTACCATTATGTGGTGTAAAGTACTGGAAAGTCGAAAATAATATTAACAATAACGCGTAATTCAATCCCCGCCCCGCGTCGTAACGTTTTAGAAAAGGACCCTCCCCCCTCCCAAAATTCATGACGTAATACTTGAACGCTCCCTAATTAGCATTGCTCTTTTAGGAGTCCTTGGTCCTGGAAAAATTTCAACGGGAAAAGGGCTATTCTCAGTACAATGATTTGTCAAATACGATTAATTCAACAAGTCGACAGGCAGCAAGCAACGTAGATCGAGAAATTTCAGCTGAAATGGAAGAGATTACGAAACGACTGGGGCCTGCCCTTGACTCTGTAATTAAGTAAGTTTAGATTATTTAAATTATTTTTAGTTATATCACCTCTTACCAGAATTGATGACTTTTACAATAACGTTAATTTTTAATGACGCTTCGTTAGGAGTTATTCAACAATTTTAACGATTTAATACTTAATCACTTATAAAGAAATACAATAGAAAAATCTTACAAAATAATAATAAATAATTCAAAGATTGTAGAAAATTGAATTACATTCCGATTTATTAAATATCGGAGGCTACAGTTAAAGTAATGAATAGTACGATTATTTATACATTTACAATTTAATAAAAATAATAAAAAATCATCACTCGAGTCTATTTTGTATTAAATATTTTCTTACACGGTCTCACTACGGAATTGATAAAGGAAGGTACACCACATATGTTTATAAAAATGGACATTAAACATTAATACTTTTTAAATAATTACGATAGTAATTAATGTAGTAAATACTATTTGGAAACGACCTTTTAATTGCTGGCATAGTTACACAAAAGCGTGCGTTAACATTCCTAACTGTATAATGAAATAACTTAATTATACGGTAATTTTATTCCGTAGAATTCTGACATTTCATAAGTGTTGATACTAAAAAAGTTCTCCTCCGAAATAGGGACAAATTTGACCCATTTGAGATAAAATAAAATGCTACGTATTTTTTATGTTTTACCTAGAAAAAGGTAAATTTAAATATTTACTTACTCAAGTGACAAAAATAACAAATATTTCAATATCACAAACAATATATCGAATTAACTTTAATTACTTTGTTTTATTCTTTAGCTGGCATCACTGCCTACTAATTCCAGTTTAGTAAATAATAAAATGTTATCTTTACTTGTGCGTTCTTTAATGTTTGTGATGAAAAGGGACGTAATTATCACTTGCCTCTAAACCACTTTTAATGTGGAGCACCGCACTTAATAAAATGTATACATTAACTAACAATAAAATGTATGTATAGACTTAGATGTTGAGACTCGTATTGAAATTGAAAAATGTGCTCGGACAAAAAGGTTTACCATCTCTGACATGTCAAAAAATGATAGCTGTCAGAATTCTACGGAATTAAAAATCGGAGTATATAAAAGTTGGTTTCTCATTTTTCCAAACTGTAAAAATAGGAAACAAATTACGACTAATGGCATCATTAAATACGTAACACAAACTTTACGGTTTTGGATGAATAATGAAAGAGTAATGTTTTTTAATAGTTCACCAATGTACTTTGACGCTGAATCGGCCGAAGGATCGCCGGACCAAATGGATAAGATCGCGAAACGCAAAGATTCTCTCGACATCGAAGAGATTGTCAGAGAGGTCGATGTTTTGTTGGAAGACACACGTTTAAGCCCGGTAAGATTTGTAATTCACCTTGACACAGTTCTCTAATCAGGGCTCTGGTAGTGGGAAGAATTAAAGAAGGTTTAAGGGAGCGTTCAAGTATTACATAACAAATTTCGGGAGGGGGGGGGGATCCTTTTGTTAACGTTACGATGCGGGGCGGGGATTGAATTACGCGTTATTGTTAATATTATTTTCGACTTTACAGTACTTTACATCACATATTGGTATATTTTAGGTATAAAGAGTCACTGGGTGGTCACGAAACGGTTTACTATTGGGTAAAGAAAAACGTTACGGCGCGATACATGGGGGGGGAGGGTCAATAATCTCCAAAAATTGCGTGACGTAATACTTGAACGCTCTCTTAGACTATTGTATGATGTGAATTAGCATACACACACGAAAATACAGATTTATGTGTGTTGAAGTAAAAAGCACATAAGTTTGTTTAAAAAATATTTTTTGTAGTATTAAGGTTTTTGAATCGAATCCCAGAGTTAGAATCTGAATTCTGTTGATAGTTAGTCTCACTAGAGGTGCCAGTCACAAGATCTCTTATAATTTTTCCATTTAAAATCAAACTAAGATTGTGTATAAGTGTTTTAATCTTATCTTAATGTTTCTCTTCAAGCATTTCGATAAATTTCAAGAATGTTCAGATGATAATGTGATATACTTGAGTATTTTTCAATGAAAAGTTCAAGGAATCACTTGATAATTAAATAACATAGTATAGTGTCCGTAAAAAGAGTCTGTCAGTATTGAAATTAATTGAGGGTAACTGCGAAATTCGATACGAAATAAACACCAGCAGTAGATTGCTCTGTGAAATTGCAAAAAGTCAAAAATCATTTATTCATATAGGTAACAAAATGTGTGTATGAACGTAAAAAAAGAAATATACTTTAAATGCTTCTAATTTTACATTTACTGCCAGTTCTCAAATCATAGGCGTAGAACGGAAGAGAAGAACTGGCAATAAACTCTCCGCCATTCTTTTTAATCGCCAAGTTTTGTTGTTTTAATATGCAGATTTATATAGTGTTATTTGCCGAACTGAACTAAACTGACTTTGCCGTTTCAGGACCTGCTGGATGACGCGGACGACCTGTTTGACGGAATAGAATAGTATAAGGGAATAGTTTTATACCATACTTTTGCGCATGTGCATTTCCTAAAGTGCTGATTATTATTATATAAGATATCATAGTATTAACGATAATATTTTAAATACGTATATCCAAAAAAATTTAATAGCTCAAATTATACATCGGACATATTGTGTGCAGTCGTTGGTCGTTTATCTATTTTGTACATTATACATGTTGTTGATAGATATTGAATTACAAAAGTGATAAATCCAAGTCTAAATGTTGAAGCAATAAAAGTAACTCATTCCGAGCGTCGCTTAAATTAATAAAAGTCTATTTCATACTTTATTATTATTCATAACTTTAGATTAAACTGTATTTAAAATCATTATGTCGAATAAATTAAGAGAAACGTGTTATATAAAATCTGTGTTTTATTTGACTAAATACTTTATATTGGTATTATACAACTACCTTTTAGTGAGAAATGCGTGCTAAGTAGGGATCTGATCAGTCTATACTTACGCATCTTCAAATTACATTTAATCATCATAATTCAAATTAAATTTCTTTTTTGTAGAACTATTTAAGATTTAACATTTTCCATCATACATTACTATAAATGTGTAATATACATATGTGTAATGTACGCACTCTAGAATAACTCGCAGGTGGTAGATTTTTTCCTACTCACTTGATATTTTGGACAATTCACACAATATCATTATAAATTATAGCCTATATGTTATTCTGATGGCAATATTATTGTAAAGTTTCATTATAATCCATTTAGTAGTTTTTACGTGAAAGAGTAACAAACTTCTATTCGTACTTACAAACTTTCGCGTTTATAATATTAGTAGGATAGTCTGTTTCGTACAATAATCGTTAATTATTAATTTCATTCATCATTAGTCTTGCTGTAAATCGAACCCCAAACCTATAGCCCTGAGAAGCCCCATCATATGTAGAAAAATATAGTGCCTTGCCTGCTGATAGGGAACATAATATACATTGATAATTATATTAATAGACGCATTTGTAAGTTTGGTTTAATTTAGACTGTAGGGTTGTACGAGTATCCAATCCTATACGCATATCCGCACTCTATTCCATGACTCATGGAACGGAAGTCTGAAGCATCAAGAAAGCGAGTCCCCTACCGACGGCTTATTTGCTCATCCGAGGTAAAGGAATGCATAAACACGCCATGGAATACTATTAAAATTTATCATAGTAAATTAGTAAATGAAAAGTATTAGGCAAACTGTTGTCTTAAGCAGTGTTGGTCCAGTGCCTTCAATGTACGACTCACATCCCTGAGTTCGTAGGTTCGATCCCCGGCTGTGCACCAATGGACTTTCTTTCTATGTGCGCATTTAACATTCGCTCGAACGGTGAAGGAAAACATCGTGAGGAAACCGACATGTCCTAGACCCAAAAAGTAGACGGTGTGTCAGGCACAGGAGGCTGATCACCTACTTCCCTATTAGATTGACAAATAATCATTAAACAGATTCAGAAATCTGAGGCCCAGACATAAAGAGATTGTAGCGCCTCTGATTTATTTTTTTATTTTACTAGAAGTCTTGCCCTCAAATATAACTAACCACCAACTACATCAATTAAGCGTAATAAATGTTAATTACAGTTTTTATTTTATTTAACATATAATGATATAGAAATAGGTTTTCATTTCAAAGTTATCACGCTTGAAGATGTTTAAATTCAGTAGCAAAATTAAAATAAGTAAATGAATATTTTAAGCTAACAACATTCTAATTAAAAATCTACAAGTTTTTATAAATTAAACTATTTAGAATTTATCAATATCGCCTGATAATGATAATAGCTTTTGCTTTTTGTCTATGTTCCACGAACTTCTTTCCTCACTTTTTACCACTTGTCTACCTTTCATACTTCACGCGAGCGGTGTGGCCCGCCAATTCCACCTAAGTTTTTTTCAAATAGATATAGCATCAATAATAATTGTTGTGTTTTTTTTGTCCTAAATATGACCATTCTTCCTTATACACTTCTTTACTATCTCTCTCTATTTCCCTTCCTACCAATATTTATTTACTTCTTCGAGATTTAAATCCCCTTGTATATAGTATTATAAGTATTTTTATTGTAAATAATAACATTAAACTATAATTTTGATTTATTTTTCCCCTTATTTAGTTATTCTGATTTTTTTGTAAATTTAATGCGTTTTTAATCATTTTTGTTATGTTGCGATAAGTTTCCATCGTTTTTATTATTCATAAACTGTAAATAATTAAAACAGCGAATTATAAAAATCTTATACTTGACGCTGGCTAATGCACAAACCGTGCCAGAGCCATAAAGAGAAGAAAAAATTGTTTTCTTTCTTATTACATTAACTTTTAAATTAAAAATTAAGTACACTAATTTCCATTCCTCATAGACATGTTATTAGATGACATGGGATGGACATGGCAATATAAACGTGTAAGGGGTAGTTGATCTAGTTCTTAGAGTAGGAAATTAAACACTCCAAAGATGACGTCTTGATTCACTATAATTTACTTCACTGATTTTAACTTCTAACTTGAACAAAGGAATTGCCAGTGCGCATGTGTTACAATCTCTTTTATAATCTATTCCCTACTCCGACCCGACCATCCCAATTCGGACAGTTGTTCGAGAATTCGTAAACAACCGAACGAGTCAAATGAATGACTATTGCACATGCGCAATTGTAGCAAAATTCTTAAGAATATGTTTCATAAAAAAATGTTTAGGATTTAATTAATTTTTTTTATAAGTCTTTATCTTGCAATCAGTCAGCTAGACTATGTGCAGACGTGTTGAGAGCTGTTAGGCGTTCAGAGCAAAATCTCCATCGAGTCTGCTCCACTCTTTCAACCGTGCCTATCAAGACTTAGGATTTGTCGCCTTTTAAGTATATTTATAAGGTCCGGTTGCGTGGCAAGCTTATTAGGATGCATTTCTAGCCTTTTTCTGTATTTCATACTACTTGAATCCCGTATGTCCAAATTGGTTTCAAGAGCATTTCGTAGATGAGTAGCTTATTATCTACTGACAGCTTGGAATTTCTGCCAAGCAGCCAGTAGAGTCCTGTATTGCAGGTTGATTTCTTCTCTCTTCTTCTGTATGTGTTGTTTCCATACGAGTCTCCTATCAAGGATTTAATTAAATAAATATTAAAAGCTAACACACGTGTCTAGAACTTTCTTCTTTAAGTATATTGGTATTTCAGCCTTCAGTAGATGTAGATGTATCGTTTCACATATATTATGTGGTACCTTTTAATATTAGGTCCTTAAATATGAAATTGGCGTTTTACGTTTTGGCCACTTTGACCTCAAATATCTCCTCTTTGGTTAAGAATTCCAAATTAAAATTTGTACAGCTATTTACTTATGTATTTGTGCTTCGATGACCGTCATTCATTTGTTTTTTTCTGTTTGCGTCACTCATTTTAAAAAATGGAAAACTTAAAGTATCGCATTATTTACGAGTACGAGTTCCGCCGTGGCAATAGTGCTGCGGAAACGACTCGAAGGGTGAATGATGTGTATGGCGGTCATGTTGCAAAAGAAAACACAGTTTGTTTTTGGTTCCAACGTATTCGTTCTGGAAATTTCGACCTGCAGAATAAGCCCCGTGGACGGCCTGAGACCCAAGTTGATAATGAAATATTGAAGGCTATTGTGGAAGCGGATCCATCGCAAACCACGTCCGAGTTAGCTGCAGGCTGCGGTGTTAGTAATAAAACTGTTTTAATTCACTTGAAGCAAATTGGGAAGATTAAAAAGCTTGAAAGATGGGTACCTCACGAATTGACTGAAGCAAACCGGCAAACGCGCGTCGACCGCTGCGTTACATTACTGAACCGGCACAATAATGAAGGTATTTTAAACCGAATCATTACCTGTGATGAAAAATGGATTCTTTACGATAATCGGAAGCGCTCAGCGCAATGGTTGGATCCTGGCCAGCCAGCCAAATATTGCCCCAAGCGAAAATTAACCCCAAAAAAGTTACTTGTAAGCGTTTGGTGGACTAGTGCCGGTATTGTTCATTGCAGTTTTCTCAAATCTGGCCAGACTATTACGGCTGATGTCTATTGTAAGCAATTGCAAACCATGATGGAAAAGCTAGCGGCTAAACAACCTAGGCTGGTCAATCGCTCCACGCCACTGCTACTTCACGACAACGCTAGACCACACACTGCACAACAGACGGCTACCAAATTAGAAGAGCTTCAATTGGAATGTCTAAGACATCCTCCGTACTCCCCGGACTTTGCTCCAACAGATTACCATTTTTTTCGAAATTTGGACAACTTCTTGCAAGGGAAAAAAATTAACTCTGATGGGGCAGTCCAAATCGCCTTCACAGATTTTATTGATTCCCGTCCGACTGTTTTTATTAGTAAAGGGATCAATGAACTACCTATGAGATGGCAAAAGTACATAGAAAACAATGGTTCATACTTTGATTAATTAAATATATTATATTTAAAAATATTCGATTTTTTGTTCCTCTCTAGAAAAGGGCCAATTTCATATGTAAGGACCTAATATTAGGACAGAATGTAGGTGGTTCGTCGTGATTTTTGTTTTTTTTTTGTGTTCAATTCCAATCATATTTCTTGGCTAACAGAACTGAGTCTGAGAATAAAACGATGTTATCAGCAAATCTTAAGTTTGTTAAGTATTTTACAATATTCATACATTTGTGTGGCCATTTCAGTTTTCCATTATGCTTAGAAGTACTGTTATATACATTACAGGAGAAAGTGGGTCACCTTGTGTAACCCCTCTTTGAATTGGTATTATGCTCCCGTTTTTTGTAGTTGGCTTTACACTTTTAGAGTTTATTTAACAATTTCATCTCTGATGATACCCTACTGACTTGGAGACTATTTCACTGCTGTTGAAATTTATTTATTTATTTACAGCCATGGCCAAATTGCAACAAAAATATTATAAAACTGTTACATAATTGAACCTTAACAAAATCCATAGAAAACCTTTTGCTATCC